TAACATTATTGGTATCTCCAGTTACCCATCCCTCTCTCCCACCACACTCCTCCTCCCTCCCTCCCTGCCCTCCCCCTCTCCCTACCTCACCCTCCCCCAGCGCCTCCGGTCCCTCCCATGTCCTGTGCTAAGGTCATTAAGGCCCGTGTGAAGACTCAGGGCATAACAATATTAATAACTTGTAGCAGAAAGATGATGGTTCTGTGTGTGTGTGTGTGTGTGTGTGCGTGTGTGTGTGTGTGTGTGTTTTACTCAGCCTAGACACCAGTTTATGAAGTGTCAGTACAAACTCTTTAATGTGTAGTGAGTTGCATGTATCTTACCTGTTGAGAAGTTACCTGAAGAGAAGTTACCTGTAGAGTTTAATTAGATTCCCTCCACTGCTGTTTGAGGAGAGTGAGTGAGAGGCAGAGAGACACAATTGAGAGTAACTCGTGGTAATGTTATTGTTTATGTATTAATCATCCTCATCCACTTCCTGAGTTCATTTTCCCCCACAAAACAACATCAACAAACACTCAATACACCAGAGGATTCATTAGTGTTGCATCTGTGTTCGGTTAAGTGTCTGCCGTTAAGTGTTTCTGAAAGACTTGCTCGCTGTTAATGGCTCCTGTTCCTTCTTACTTATTGTCGTCTGTAACTAGAATGTTTTAATCCCTTCCCCACCACAGCTGGTTATCGCCCTGGGTCTAGTCGCCCTCGCCGCCGCCCGACCCAGCGAGATTTTTGACTTCGAGGGTGACGACGCCGAGCATGAGCAGGAGGGCGCCGCGGGTCGCTCTGTTACCGGCGAGTACAAGTGAGTTATGACTGCTGGTGTGATCTCTCTCTCTCTCTCTCAGAAAACGTAAACCTATTCTTTGTGTTATAGTCGATGTACCTCCTACAAGTCTTCACTATGTTGCTATAGTCTCATGTGGTTCTCGTGTTAACGCTACCATCTTAATAACACGTTAATATGTTCTTTAAAACTTCAGTAATAACAAAATCATTTAAGTACAAACGTTGTCCTTTTTATTGACGTTGGGGTCCGTGATTTGTTACCCCCATGTCCTTGATCGTCCGTGTCTACGTCCTCAGGTGGGAGAGTCCTGAAGGCATTGAGTTCGTGGTCAAATACATCGCTGACGAGAAGGGTTACCGCGTCCTGGAGTCCAACGCCGTCCCGTCCGCTAACGGCGAGTCTGCTGACGGTGAACAGGCCGACCTCGACGGTAGCGAAGAGGAGGATGAAGATGACGACAAATAGAGGAACTCATCTGGCTAACACGACAACGACGACATACCACACATCAACGAACGACGAATTAAGTGAATGAAAGTATTACGTTATAATTATCGTCGCTAATGGCGTGTGTCTTCCTGGATGTTGTCAACTGTGCAGCAACTTTATAAATAAACTATTTATGGTGTCTTATTGAGTGTTAATTGAGTCCTACTGAGTGAAAAGTTTTGTCTTGGGAAAAGTGAGAATTGTGTATTGGTGTTCTGGGTCACAATCTGCCTTTACCACTTACATAGCACCTCCCTCACCCCTCCCTCACACAGCACCTCCCTCACCCCTCCCTCACACAGCACCGCCCTCACCCCTCCCTCAAACAGCACCTCCCTCATCCCTCCCTCACACAGCACCGCCCTCACCTCCCTCACACAGCACCTCCCTCACCCCTCCCTCACACAGCACCGCCCTCACCCCTCCCTCAAACAGCACCTCCCTCATCCCTCCCTCACACAGCACCGCCCTCACCTTTAACTAGAAGAGTCACCACCTTTGACCTCTATTTAATCTACATCAAGTAGTCAGTGATGATCACCCACTCTCAAACCCCACTGAATTATATGTGTGGGCGTGCGGACGTGAGGGCGTGTGGGCGTGAGGGGTTAAGGGCGTGAGGTGTGACAGTAGTGGGCTGAACCGTCAACACTTAACCTTGGGAATAGGTGAACAATTTCTACATTCTTTTTTGTCTCAGTTTTTATCGTTCCTCTGAAGACGTGACTCGCTTGACAGATCTGGGCACACCCACACACACACACACACACACACACACACACACACACACATAGTTTCCCTTGTCCTATATCCTTGTATACACTCACACCAAAGAGTACCTTCACCATTCGCTGCCTAAAATACGTCCATGAATTGGTTATAATTTGCCTTATAGACGAGAGGTGAAGTCCTGTTACCTATCTCGAGACAACAGCCACGAGAAAACCTTGTCGTCCTCCCGAGACCTAGAGATCGAGGACGTGATGTGGTGGCCTCGTGACGACCAGCAGATTACCACATAACCCGGTACTGTAGCTTCCCGGTGGATACAATGACCAGTAGACTCCCAGACAACCCAGTACTTGTAGGACTTCCCGGTACTAGTTACAACATGCAGTTCACTAAAGGATCTCTCTCTCAATTCATGATCTTGGCACAGTGACAATTTATCAGTGATTGAATGTCAAGTAAAATTATCTTTCCTTCTATAAATTCCTGTGTGTGAATTCTTCTTGTGAGCTAAAAAAATGAGGAAGAAAAACAAAGCTAATTATAACTCAGTCATCTCGGTCACCTCACGTGTTTGTTGTGTTGTGAGGGAGAGTTTGTTGTGTTGTGGGGGAGAATTTGTTGTGTTGTGAGGGAGAATTTGTTGTGTTGCGAGTGGGAATGGTGTGTTGCGAGTGGGAATGGTGTGTTTTCTTTGGTGGTGGTGGTTAATGATCCCAAGACCCTCACACAGAAAACGATAAATGTTAACAAGAAGGTCATAGATAATGGATGGTCAACGCCTCCTCAACAACATGCTTCATCATTAATCTAAATCTCTAAGACATAAAACAACTAAAAAAAAATGTATTATAATAATCGTATGAGACTGGGCTACTGGTTACCTCTCTTACTGCAGACTAATGGTGCCAGATACTGATGACAGACACTCGTACATCTATAAACAGGTTGGCTATATCAAGAGGCCTTTAACTCCCAAAGCTAACTGATGGTCTGTGTAAACAACATTGACGTCATCATTGGTGGTGACAGTAGAGTTATTTCTAGTGCCTTGGTGTGTGTGTGTTTTGTGTGTGTGTGTGTGTGTGTGTGTGTGTGTGTGTGTGTGTGTGTGTGTGTGTGTGTGTGTGTGTGTGTGTCCAGGGAGGAAAAAAGTATATATTTACCTGGTATAGAGACGAGGTGAGCCCTGGAGGTCACACAGTGTAGGAGTTAGTGGACATGGACGTGAGATACAGTAAAATGCTTGGTGGTGTTGTCCCCCAAGGTGGTAGTGATGTCCCAAGAACCTTCTCTGTTTCTTGTTTACCTTCTCGTCTGTTAATGATTACATCCTCAACACTGACAGGTATATATATACATATATATGTAAAGTGTAGGTAAGGCCCACGTGATTATTATAAAGATTTTGTTATGGTTTTGTTTAAATAATGAGCAAATAATGCACTATGTCTTATTGCAGGAACAAATGAGAGAGGCATGAGAGAAAACGATTTTGAAAGTCCTGTGAAGCGTAGGTTAAGGAGGGAACTAAATCATCGAGACGAGCTATCACTACAACCACCTACTGTATGTTAGCGGCACTTCAGAGACTCGACCTACACCAGCTACACACAGGAGTATCATCAACGTCTCCTCTACAGAGTCATCATCAAGGACCACCTAGACTATCTGGCTGTAGTCCAAGAAGCTACATGACATTTCGGGGTCAAGACGCCAGACTATGTAGAGGTGAACCTTGAAAAAGAGGTGTGGTCGTCCTGTTGCCTTTCCATTCCACCAAGAAAACCAAATCTACATATTTTTTCGTCCTCCCAAATGGTCCATTCACTGACCCCAGAACGAATGGATGGATATATCAGTGAAAAAAAAATCTCGTTCTATGGAGCTCAGCCGATGATCCAACCCTCACGTCTCCTGGCCTGAGAACCTAAGACCTACAGACATCTGGAGGTGAAGGTCGACCTTATAGTAGAGTCACCTCAATTCACTCCCTCCATCACCATGAAGGTTCTGGTGAGTTCAGATTAATACCCACAACGCCTAGTCTCTGTTTCAGTAGCTAAGTCATCCTCAACACTGTAGGAACCTCGTCTTAGGAACAAATTGTGAGAACTACAAGAATCACCGCCAGAGTTTACGGTTCTTGTACACAATTGGGTAATGCCTTGTCTCACCACCTCCTGCAGCAGTAGTTATAGCTCGTTATCTCCTTCCTCTCCACAGCTGGTGATCGCTCTGGGTCTGGTCGCCCTGGCCGCTGCTCGCCCTGATGAGATCCTGGACTTCGAAGGTGAAGACGCCGAGCACGAGCAGGAGGGCGAGGCGGGTCACTCTGTAACCGGCGAGTACAAGTGAGTTACCACATATTGACACTTGGCCTTGTGTAATGATATTAATCCTGGCTAAACCAAGTACACGTCCGTATATTGTCCTTCTTTCACATCCTTGATCGTCCTTTTTAACACCCTCAGGTGGGAGAGTCCTGAAGGCATTGAGTTTGTAGTCAAGTACATCGCTGACGACAAGGGTTACCGCGTCCTGGAGTCCAACGCCGTCCCCTCTGCCAACGGCGTCTCTGCTGACGGTGAACAGGCCGACCTCGATGGTGACGAAGATGACGACGGTGAAGACGATGACAAATAAACATCAGGGTCAACAAGTGCCCGATACAAACTAGAACGACGACAACGAAACGGAACGAGACTAAATCGAACCGAATTAGTGGGTCACCAAATCACTAGAGGGACGACCCCCACATAAAACAGTCAAACTTCTTGTAACATAAAGCCTTTCTCTCTCATGACGTCAGTGGTAGACATCACCTGACGTCTCTCTTACCTGTGTGCGTGTTATAAATAAATATTTATTATGGGATTAATCTTCGTTTACAATTATTATCCGATTCAGGTATTACAGGTGTACGATATATTAATGAACTTTCTCTTTTTCTCTCTCTCTCTCTCTCTCTCTCTTACTTTCTTCCTTTTTCCTTTCATATTCATCTTCTGATTGACATCTTAACAACTTATGTATCGTCAAAAACTGATGCACAAACACATTTATGAGAAGAATAGACGTGGGAGTAACCTGTAGCCAATCAGAGTCAATTAATGTTACCTTCAGCCAATCAGAATCCAAGAAATCTTACCTGCAGCCGATTAGAGTTAGGGTGATTGTACCTATAGCCAATCAGGGTTCAGTTATAAAATTCAATACGCAATAAGACTCTGTACTTGCAATGTTTATTTTATGAACGAATTACATACATACATACATACATACATACACGTACATAGAAACGCAAAATATTATATAGAAAACACCCACACAACACACACACACACACACCCACGCACACACACACACACCCACACACACACACAACACACACATACACACACACACACACACACACACACACTATCTCCCTGACACAACATAAATACAATCGAGTCACTTTTGTTTTCTCAACCATTGTGTTCCTGATCAGACAACACACACACCCTCTCGCTCGCTCTCTCCCCACTCTCTCTCTCACCCACCACCATGTCCCTAGTAGTCTTTCTTTGCTCTATTTCCACCTTTATCATCCTCCTTCTGCGTACCACAGTCGTAAATTCTCCATTATCTTATGTTCCTCTCACCAAGACGTTGTGGAGGGCAAGAAGCGACCCAACACAACTCACGCTGAGAAAAAGGCGATTAAGAATAATGAGAATGAAAATAATAATAATAATAATAATAATAATAATAATAATAATAATAACAACAACAACAATAATAATAATAATAACAACAACAACAACAATAATAATAATAATAATAATAATAATAATAATAATAATAATAATAATAATAATAATAATAATAATAATAATAATAATAATAATAATAATAATAATAATAATAATAATAATAAGAAAAAGAAGAAGAAGAAGAAGAAGAAGAAGAAGAAGAAGAAGAAGAAGAAGAAGAAGAAGAAGAAGAAGAGCAAAAACAAGAACAAGAACAAAAACAAGAACAAGACGAACAATGAAAAGAACAAGAACAACAAGAACAACAACAACAAGATATTCTAGCCATCATCACATCTTTCTATTCTACTTAATATCCTCAGTTTCCCTCCACATCTATTTTTATTACACAGGTCAGCCGGAAGAGGTTACGAGGTCCTAACGAGCGAGAAAGAGCTACTCGTTTTAAAGCTATGCGGGTCAGAGCTGTTTTGGCATTGTTTTTGGCACTGTGGGTCAGACAAGAAGGCACTGTTTGGGCATTGTGGGGTAGAGGGCATTGTGTTTACTTTTTGTTGTCACCGAGAGTAGAACAGTGTCTTTGTGTGTATGTGTGTGTGTGTGTGTGTGTGTGTGTGTGTGTGTGTGTGTGTGTGTGTCTGTCTTTGTCCGGGAAGCGCATCAAAGGACGGCTGGGAGATAGTGTGGTTCGTGGTGGTGGTGGTGGTGGTAGTGGTGGTGGTGGTGGTAGTGGTAGTGGTGGTGGTGGTGGTGGTGGTGGTGGTAGTGGTGGTGGTGGTGATATGTGATTGTTAGCGTCTCCAACACTAACGTCTCCAGCACTAGCGTCTCCAACACTCTCTTTTTAACACCTTACGAAGACGATTAAATGAAATAAGAATAAAAACAATAAATGAATAAGAAATGAATATGAACCACTAGAAAGTTAATCAAGAAGGCTAAGGAAATATTGATATACTAACATGTCAATTCTCTCGGCCATCACTCTCCAGGCTGAGTACGTCTGTTTTATTATTTAACTCATATCAACTACACTGAGTAACACACAATGATTTCCAAACTAACAATAACAAGATACGTGTTAAGAAACTTTATTATGTTACCTTACCTACAAGATTAAAACATCCAGGTTGACCTTAGATGACCTTGATAGAGAGAGAGAGAGAGAGAGAGAGAGAGAGAGAGGGGGGGGATGAGGAATGACCCTACCTTGTGGTACTCGTCTACCCAAAGGTCACCAGAACAACACTGGTAAAATAAGGGTCATTTTTGCTTCACCTCGTCCGTGCTGGGACTCACTGTTTGGGCAGCGATAAACTGGACAAGGTCACTGTCTATTTTCACTGTACTGTTGTTGCATATTATCATCACAACAGCTGGATATCTCAAAATGTTATGAAAAATTCGGTAACAGTGAATTTAGATAGATAGAAGACTACAAAACTGTCAAAATATCTCGTGAAGTCTGAACAAATGTTTAGTTTACTTTGAACAATTGTTTACTGGTGTGACGCTCATGTAAACAAATTCAAGTTTGTTTTAGAATTTAAATCTGGCTGCCAGACTGTACTGTAGAATACTGTTGAAAATTATACTTAATAAGCACGAGAAAACCCAAATATTTCTGATAAATATGATGTCCTTCTCTCTCATAGCTTTAATAAGACCAATATATATCTGTTTTGTTTCTCTTTGGCCAACGTATCGACTGACACACATATCTACGTTGACAAAATTACCCACTTCTTTCACTTCGTCAATTTTTATGCAAATTCACACACCTATAATTTATATCCTTAAACAGTAAGACCCGGGTGACGGTGACGAAGTAGACGACCTCGGCAGACACTGTTACATACTATACGAGGAGACTAGCCACTCCCAGTCCCTCCCAGTGCCTTCCCAGTGCCCTTCCTAGCCCCCTCTAGCCCCTCCTAAGAAACTCCCAGCCCCTTTTAGCCTCTCCCAGACCCCTTCCAGACCCTCCCAGCCAGAGTAAAGACCAAACGCTAAAAATAATAAGATTTACCATTGAGAAATAAGAGGAGGAAATATTATGGTTTCTATTGAAGGAAATTTCATCTATAAGTTTATAGTTTTCTCTCTCTAAAAAAAAAAGAAGTAAATTTCTTGTTTTGTTTTGTTTTTCGATCACCAGCAATGATTCTGAAGACTAGACAGACGTGTATAAACTGTGTGTGTGTTTATTCTGGGTGCTGGTATGTGATGCAAGTGTACTCTGCCAGGTTATTTAACTACGAGAGAGTCTAAATTTATTTCACTGAATTTATCGGATCTGTGTGTGTGTGTGTGTGTGTGTGTGTGTGTGTGTGTGTGTGTGTGTGTGTGTGTGTGTGTGTGTGTATGTGTGTGTTTAGTAATGAGAGAAAGGAAGAGGAGAAAGGAAGAGGATGAGAGAAAGAGGGGTTAAGAGAAGGAGAGGAGAGAGAGGATGGGGTGAAAGGAAGAGGGGGGGGTGCAGTGGAACACGACATTTAGGGTTCAGAGGGCCATTGCAACACAATTGGTTTGCACATGAGAACTTTTGGGATAGAGGAGGGGGGGGAGGGGGGGGGAGGGAGGATGTAAGGATACAGAGGGAGGGAGGGGAGGGAGGAGGGATGGAGGGTAGTTGTGCTTATAGCTACATTCTTATTATATATACATGAATAATATAGGTAGGTGCTTGTAGAAATTGTAATGTGTGTGTGTGTGTTGAGTCCCTCCCTCCCGTCACTGACCATTAGGCACCCCAACACCGTCTACCCAACAGTGGTCATCATTAATTATATTTTCTTATCTCGTGGAAGTCACTCGAGGATCTTCATGACTCAATGTTGATCTTCCTTACTTGCAATAACACCTACCCACTGCAACATCGGGTCCTTAACTCTTGCAATAACATCAATTACTCCATCATCGGGTCCTTAACTCTTGCAATAACATCAATTACTCCATCATCGGGTCCTTAACTCTTGCAATAACACCTGCTCACTGCAACATCGGGTCCTTAACTTTTGCAATAACATCAATCACTGCATCATCTGGTCCTTAACTCTTGCAATAACATCAATCACTGTAATATGGGATCTCAACTACTCGCTTCTCGACCTCTCATTACTGGAGGGTCAAGAGAGAGGTCAAGGTAGGTCATGGATGAATTATAACCTACAGGATATTTTGACCTTAAGAAATAATTATTATTCTCGGGTCGGGAGATGAAGGGCAGCAAGACAAGTAGAGGAGGTCAGCTCAGAGTACAATGGAGGTTGTGGAGAGAGGTCAGGAGAGGTCAGGGGAAGGATATGACCCGTAAAATGACCCGACCTTGGATTTAAGAATATAGAACCCATATTGCTTAGATCAGGAGGAGGAGGAGGACTAGGAGGTCAACCGAAAGTACAATAAGATGTGTGGAGTCAGAGGTTAGGAATAATTATGAGAGGTCAGGGTAGGTGATGGTTAATTAATGACCCCCTCCCCCCCCCCCCGTGAGAGGTTCCTCCTTCAGGGTGGATGAAACAGACGAGTACGCTTGGGTGATGTTGTCAGTATAACGGGCGGGTGGGTAGTGGCGCATGAAGACTAAATCGTGGTTCAGTCATGCTCAACCTGACCTGACCTGACCTGACCTTCTTCTTTCTCTTTTTATGAATGAGAGAGAGAGAGAGAGAGAGGAGAGAGAGAGAGAGAGAGAGAGAGAGAGAGAGAGAGAGAGAGAGAGAATATCAAACACGTTCACTGTAACTTAAGAAAAATCGTTCATAAGAGACACTTGTAATTTTTCTCCTAAATACTCTTAAAATATCTCCTTCCTTCCCTTCCTCCCTCCTTCCTTCCCTCCCTCCTTCCTTCCCTTCCTCCCTCCTTCCTTCCCTTCCTTCTCCTCCCGGCACGCCTTTTGTACCCAACTCTGCCTTACACCTGTTTCACCCATCTGTTATTACAGGTGAATAGAGGTCTGCATTTATTGTGTACGTGTATACATCGACGTATTTATGTATGTATGTATGCCTGTAAGTAAGTATGTATGTATGTATGTATGTATGTATGTACAGTCATACTTCTATAACTACAAGCTATCCCGAAGCGTCTAAATATCCTCTACATCATCCATCACTTGTCATCCACGGTCTTCCTACTCTATACATTATCGTACGTTGACAAACTCTCCCTCCTGCACACAACAGCCTCAGCGACCTTCGTACCTTAAGCTGAAACTATTATACAGGCGGACAAAAACAACTTCAGTCGTACATTATCGTAACCTCTCTCTCTCTCTCTCTCTCTCTCTCTCTCTCTCTCTCTCTCTCTCTCTGCGGTATATAAGTTCTGTGTTTATATAAGATAAATATTTTTGTGTGAATTTTTTTTTACTATTATAAATACAGTCTGTTTACTTTCACTTAATGTAAATAATATGTGGGTGTTTTTTTCGGGGGTGGGGGTGGTGGGGGTGGTGGGGGTGGGGGGCGGGGGTGGTGGGGGTGGTGGGTGGGGGGTGGGGCTATTATATGATTCTAATTTTGCTTTTGTCTTTATTTATTTCTCGACCCCAATTCTTTTTTTTTTTTCTTGTGTATGTTTTAATTTATTTTTTTTTTGCTATTACAATTTGTATTTTAAATTTATATTATTTTTTTGCGTATCTAAAGATTTAATGTTATTCACCTGTTCGTCTGTCTGTCTTTTTTCTGTCTGTCTGTCTTTGTCTGTTCTTTTTCTGTCTGTCTGTCTGTTCGTTCGTCTGTCTGTCTGTTCGTTCGTCTGTCTTTTCTGTCTGTCTGTCTGTCTGTCTGTTTGTTTGTCTGTCTGTCTGTCTGTCTGTCTGTCTGTCTGTCTGTTTGTATGTCTGTCTGTCTGTCTGTCTTTTCTCGCTTGAATTAATATGAGGTTATATCTTTTACTCTTTCTAACTCACATAAACAACGTCTGTACTCATAATACTCATAATAATTACTTTTACTCACACAAACGTTTAAACCTATCCATCCACTCACTACCATCATCTAGTATACTCATTATTCACTCATTTACTCATCATTATCATCCTGTTTACTAATTTATTCATCATTATCATCCAATTTTACTCATTTACTCATCATATTAATTCACAAACCGGCCACCAGAGATCTCATTATACACACTGGTCTACGATGGTCTTTTGTTTTATAATTGACAATAGAGGAAGAGGGGATGGAGGGAGGAAGGGGTGAGGAAGGGAATGTCATGGGGGTGAAGGGAGGTATCAACAAACACCAGGTGATATCAATACACCAGGTGATACCAACAAACACACAATATCAACATCAATAGCCTCTTGACTCATTTTGACCCCTTGACCTTTGGGTTGAGAGAAGGGGGGCAGACGGAGGAGGAGGAGGTCAGGTCATAAAGGGGGGGGGGAGGAAGCTTGAGGGAATAGGTCAGGTTTGATAGGCGGGGCTTCTTCAGGAGGGGTATATAAGAGGGCACTGCAGTCCTGTTCCTCACACTACCTAGTATCTACCCCCTATTACCTACCTACCTACCTGCATTATGAAGCTGGCAGTAAGTTGGAGAGACAGAGAGACTAGGGATGATATAAGAGACAGTTGGAGGAGGAGGAGAATAAAATAAGATGTTTGGGAGTTGAAGGAAAGAGAGAGAGACAGTGTTTGGAGAGAATGAGATGGTGGAGGTGAGGTAGTTGAGTGTTGGAGGGAGATAGAGAGAGATATGAGGAGAGGGAGAGTGTTGGAGGGAGGAACGAAGAGGGAGTGTTGGAGGAGGACAGAGAGAAACACACGAAGTATACAAAGAATATACATAAACAGTGCAAGTATACATATAATATACATAACTAACCCAACAGAAGCATCAGAAGATTAATATTACCTATAGTTCTAATAGTAATGTTTTAACAGCTAACCCAAAGTGGCTGTATTCTTCAGTGCATTTATATAAGCATATGTAGAATCTTATATGCGATTTTGTTGTTGTTGTATTTCTTAGATTAACTTTATCAATGAATTAATCTTCTGTAACGTTAACAAGATATGCACCCACCCCCCTTGATAAATACGTCTTAACATTTGTTTTCTTTACGTCTTGGTACTCTATAGATTTCTTACCGTAATCATTGTATTTTATCTGTTATACTAATCCATTTGTCTCCTCCTCCTCCTCCTCCCCCGTCCCGTCAGCTTATCGTCCTGGTGAGTGTCGTCGCCCTGGTCACAGCTCGTCCCGATACCATTGTTGATCTGGATGAGATTCACCATGACCTAAACATCGCCAAAGACACCACTGTCACTGGTAGCTACAGGTAAGGTAATCATCTGTACACCTGTTGAAGAAGAATCATAGTTATCACTTCAACTATATAATGTTCTGTGGGTTAATAATTTTGAAACTCACTCTCTTGGTCTTGCTGTAACTTCATCTGTTATATGTTGTTCAGATTTAGTTGAACAATGCATAGCGCCAGCAGGAGCAGTGAACAGTTCATGGCTTTTCCCTAAAACTCGTAAGCACAAATAATTCATAGTAACTATAAGCCAGAATAATCTTCGCCCGACTTCTGCCTGTGCTGGCGTTGTCTTACGCTCTTAACATATCAGTGAAGGAATAGTTAAAATAAATATAAACGTCTCTATCTCCCTGCAGCTGGACTTCCCCCGAAGGTAAGGAATACTTCGTCAAATATGAAGCTGACGAAAACGGTTTCCGCATCGTCGAGTCCAACGTTGTCCCCGCTACCGACGGCGGCATGTTAGCTGACGGTGCCCAGGGATCCTTCGTCTCCCTTGAGGATCTCTTTGACGAATTCGACAAGTAAATAATAAAAAAATTCTCTCAACCAATGATACCACTTAGCGTGTTGTCTTGGGCTCCGGAACACGACAAACAGTGTTCCCTGGAGCACCACGAGAAGCTCCTAAATCATCGCTCGTCTCCTTCTATCTCAGCCTCACCTCCTGCAGTAGTCGTCATCAAGGTGCTGCTACAAGAGGCCATCATACTCTTGCTTCAGTCTCTCCTTCCATCGTTATTCCATTTTCCTGACGATGATTTCCTGTCTCTTCCTCCTTCTTCTTCTATCTTTCCCCACCTCCTGTCTCCTCGTTCTTAGGACCGTCCTTAACATCAGGTACTTCATATTCTCTTCGGTACATCCATTGTACTTTATTTATTATATAACAAAATAAGAAATAAATGTCAACAAATACAAAGTCTTTCCTATACCGCCTAAACTTACCGACCACAAGTGTGAGACAGAGTGATCGTGTCCCAGGCTGTGTTGATTAGCCGTGTCTGGACTAGGGGCCGGACAAACTAATTTTCCCGGCACTTGACAGGAACCAGACGGGAATTTGACAGGTGTGTGTGTGTGTGTGTACATGACCTAACACGTGACGCTACAGCTGAGTTTCTGCTCCCACATTGACCTTAATTTGATTCTTGTAAAACAGACGGAAATATTCGGGATTAAAATAAAGACGACCTGTGTTCAACCCCACCTTTCACCCTTGAGAATTTCAACATCCTCGTGGCCTCCTTCATTTTCCTCCCAAACTCCCATTCGGTCCTATCACCACTTGAAAGGATGACACGACACGTACTGAACAAGCCGTTCAGGCTCGGTCCAGCGCCTGTCACGACAGGACTGACCTGTGAAATCTTAGATAATCCGTAAAAATATAAAAATAAATTAGCAGAAGAGTATGTACCTGTAAATATTAAAATTGTATTGTCGTTATGATTAAACATTGACAAAAAAAAATGAAAATTTTCTTTCTGCCAAGTCCAAATAAGTAATACAAGTTTTGTTTAATTCAGATTCCCAACATTATTTGGAACGTACAATTTATAACAGTTCTTTAAATATAGCTCTAAAGAGAACCACTGTTCTAGGAGCATTTGGGACTGAACTTTCACTACCCACAGTGTTGACCAGGGCGCCTTGATAATAAACATTGTATAAGCCGCTTATCTGTTAACAGCTTATCTTCTGTCAATACACGATAGTAGTTTATAATAGTTATTTTATTTTACATTAAATAATTCCCTCTTGTATATTCATTGTTTACATTCATACAGTAAACAGGACAATGAAGAAAACGTTTACCTCATTAATATGGTAATTACTGTATGTAACCGAACAGTAATTTAACACAACACACACACACACACACACACATTAAGGTCCTTCAGAACTATACATACACACAAATTTATACATTGTTCAACAGCAAACTGAGGTCCACACTTACACACATACGAAATAATTCACCACAAACATACACAGGGACACAAACATACACAGGTACACAAACATACACAGGGACACAAACATACACAGGTACACAAACATACACACAATATACTTACTATATAACTTACTGTGTTCATCAATATAATCTGTATTATGACATATAAATCTGGAGAAAAATACTACACCTGTCCAAACACCTGTCCATACACCTGTTCGTACACCTGTCCGTACACCTGTTCGTACACCTGTCCATACACCTTATGCTAAACCTCCTGTGTGTGAGATAAACAAGACACATACCACGAGGAGGTGACCTGTACCACACACACACACACACACACACACACAACACAGGGTTGGTCAGGACCCGTGAGTTTCGACATACAACTCTCCACTAACAACTAGATCAACAAGTACGTTTTTTAAACCAGTGTATAGTGTGTGTGTGTGTGTGTGTGTGTGTGTGTGTGTAGAGTCATTCTCCTTAAGACTACCAATATTTTTCTCGTCTTTCTTATTGTCAACAGTTTATCAATATTTTTTTTTCTTCCTTTCTTCCTCCAATATCTTATAGGTATTCTTTTGCTTTTAATGGAACGTAAGATTAGGTTAGGTGAGATAAGCACTAGGTGTAATGATAAGGTTAGTTCTCCATGGTGCTGTTATCGTCGGCATCAGTGAGACGTAAAGAGTGTCGGGAAGTGTCGGTGTGAGGGTGTCGGGAAGCGTCGTGTAGGGTGTGGGGAGTGTCGGTGAGGGTGTCGGGGGAGGTTTGGTGGGGTGTAGGGAGGTCGTGAGGGGAGGTCGGTGTGAGGGTGTCGGGGAGTGTCGGTGTGAGGGTGTCGGGGAGTGTCGGTGTGAGGGTGTCGGGGAGTGTCGGTGTGAGGGTGTCGGGAGTGTCGGTGTGAGGGTGTCGGGGAGTGTCGGTGTGAGGGTGTCGGGGAGTGTCGGTGTGAGGGTGTCGGTGAATGTCGGTGTGAGGGTGTCGGGGAGTGTCGGTGTGAGGGTGTCGGGGAGTGTCGGTGTGAGGGTGTCGGGGAGTGTCGGTGAGGGTGTCGGGAATGTCGGTGGTCGTAATGTGAACATAGATTACACAAGTCTTGATAATCTGAGGAACAGCAAGAAGACACACACACACACACACACGTACCATTAAAACAAAACAAACATAAAGTCAACAATTGAGGTTAGGTGACTACAGCAGGTGGACCAAGCAGGACTTACCTGTTGAGAGAGACGACGTCCCCAGCAGGCTGTAGAAAGTGGTGGTGGTGTGACCTTGGCCCTACTACCCCACGTCCTAGGGGAGGTTGTTGATCCTGCTGGGGTGTGCGGGTGGAGAGAGAGAGGAGAGAGAGAGAGAGAGAGAGAGAGGTCAATTTTAGGGTGGGGAAGGAAGGAAGGAAGGGAGTGAGGGTGTCTCTATCTCGGGGAAGGAAGGAAGGAAGGAAGGAAGGAAGGAAGGAAGAATAGGTATCTCACTTTCACTGGCCAGGGAGGAGGGAGAGATGGACGGTATCCCTCGTACCATAATGAACGCTTCGCCAGCACAAGCATAAAAGGAAAGCGTTTGGCGTTCTCCACCTCCATGGACTTTACACCAGGCTAATAACAAACCACCTTGTGCCTTCACTGCCTTCTTCAGATAGGTCCTTGGGCATTATCCTGAAGCCTAATGGGTCGTTAGCCTCCTATCAACTACAGTAAGACTTCCTTTAAATCATCTCTTAAAAAATATCTATTGTCTAAGTATTAATAGTTTTTGTAATACCAACTTTATATTCCTGTTTTTATTGTACCACCAAAACCGTTTTACCAGATACCATCATGTAGATAGATAGAAATTACCATTGTAATAAATATATTTGCCAACTAGACATGATACTAACAGCTCTGTCCCCTTGTTCCACCTTAATACAACCCATGATGTACTGCTTCCCTCCCTTATCATATTTATGTATATCAATTCCACTGTAAAGTATGTATTTACTTATAATATAATGTACAAAAAAAGATAAATTAAATAAATAACGAAGTGATAACCGTGGTGACATGTTGTTATTACCACCATGCTATTGTACTATTCCAGATGTTACTGAATGTTACATAATACTTCCTTAAGATAAATGTACAGTATATATCAGGTGCCTCTCACTGGCTCAACCATGTTCATATTATGATTCTTTATCGACTCTGTATCTGTGTTTTTCTGGCTAAATAAACTGTTTCAATATCATTATACGTCGCTGAGTATGAAGTGGTTGAGTGAGTGTGAGAGGGAGGCCCTACCACTGAGCTGCTGAAAGCCTGACAGAAATGACCTGTTAGATGACGGTAATCGGGCACACTTCGTCCTGTTAAGGCATCATCCAGTGTCCATTGGGGTCAGTCCTCTGAACAAGTTGGCCAGCCACGCGGAGGAACACAAATACGATATCTGGATAACACAATTAGTTCATGTTGATCCAATAGCAACCTTACTGTTACTAAATGGATGTTATGTATGTAGTTCAGGTCCACACACACACACACACTTAACATAATTATTTCACTTATTCTTGATTTTCTGGGATAATTGTAAGGGCTCGACGATGCTCTTGGAGGTCAACTACTTTTTGTCCAGAGAAACTTATATTACTTTACCTTATCCAGAGTGTGGTGTTTGAGTACAGGTCCTCCCCAGCCTAGTACTCAAAGGACTAAGCCATTGTACTCAAAGGGTTAGTTTATCGTACTCATGGAAAGTCATTATTCTTCCAGTTTTAAGTCACAAAAATAAGGGATTGTCATAGTCAATGGGTTTATGTAGTGTGTGTGTGTGTGTGTGTGTGTGTGTGTGTGTGTGTGTGTGTGTGTGTGTGTGTGTGTGTGTGTGTGCGTGCAATTAAAATCAGCGTGAAGATAATTACTCCTCTTAATATGATATTTACTTGAATATTTAATTAACTTCACACAAGACGGTGGTGCGATGGTTTGGTAGTGTGGCAGTGTGGTGATATGATGACTTACTGGTGTGATGATGTGGTGTAGTGATAATGTATGGTGATGTGTGAGGTAACAGTGCCTACCTGAAGATAAATTAAGGTGATGGTGTCGAGTAGAGCACTTGGAGAGGGTCGAGGACTTGGTACAGTATAGTATGTGGGGCAGGACTTGGTGTTCAAACTGTCATGACATTTTTGTGTGAAGATCAAGTGACAAACAGGCCTGGCAGGAGGTGGAGAGCTGACCTGGATCCTGTGGTATAAAGAGCCTTACCACCAGACCTGACCAACACACGCCATCGTCCTCCATTACAGATCAACAGCGACACCATGAAGTGCTTTGTGAGTTGACTTTAGCTTTGTACATGTGTTCAATGTCCCGCTGTGGTTATCCAGGTGTGTGAGGTGTACGTGTACCAGCGACTGTAAAGCATGGAGTGTAAACAAACTTACGTCAATAACCAAAATGAAAAAAAGTTCATAGTTCATTTAATTGTTCTTAATAAATTATAACACCTGAACTAGATGTTTATTGAACGAATTTTTGTTGAACACACTCAGGCACTAGTAAACACAGTCTAGTGCTGGTGGGCTTAACAGTTTCTCAGTTATTCGATGTTTTACTGCTCAAAGCTGTTTTTTTTATTCATATAAGTCTTCTGCAGTAGGGTGGTGGCCGGGCAGGTGCTGGTCTGCTGCCCTGGGTCTTAACACTCACCAGGTGCTGTAGTGGGTTACTCCACCACCCTGGCAGGAGGCTGGTCCACCCACAGGTTGGTCCCGCCCTCGACACACTCACCCGATAGTGTAATCATTTATTGTTGAGTGTACATGACCTGGTGTACATGACCTGGTAATGACCTGGTGTACAAGACCTGTGTAGAAGACCTGGTGTACATGACCTGGTATACATGACCTGGTATACATGACCTGGTGTACATGACCTGGTATACATGACCTGGTGTACAATACCTGGTGTACAAGGAGAGAATCCAACGCCTCCACCTTGACCGGGGACCAAACCTCGCGATACTAACCTTCCAACACCTGAGCTACAGAACCCGCAGAGACTCTTACTTAACTTAACCATTTTTTGTGTCTCCTCCGCCAGGTTCTCGTTGTACTGGGTCTGGTCGCCTTGGTCACTGCCCGACCTGACGTTGACCTCGACGAAATCACCCAGATACAAGATATTGCGGAAGATAACACCATCACAGGATCTTACAGGTGAGTAGGGTTACCTGTCTCACGCCTCACAGGTGCACCACAGGGAGAACTAATGATCAGTTTTCTCTTAGTTATATCAGTTTATCTATAATGACGTCAGCTGCTGGGATGATTATCTTGTTGAGCCATTAAGTTAGAATTTGTAGCTTAACTGAGTGAGATATATTTCAGCATCAATTTGTAGAGTGAAGAAGTTTAGCTCCAGGTGTATCCTCAGGTGAGAGTTATTAAACCTACCTGGAGTTATACACCTGACATAGATTATAGAAAGTAAACATTGTTGTGTGTTGCAGCTGGAAGTCTCCTGAAGGTGTGGAATATTTCGTCAAGTACATCGCTGACGGTGATGGCTACCGCATCGTAGAGTCCAACGCTGTTCCTGTCAACGGTGAAGAGGCCGCTGACGGTACCCAGGGATCCTTCTTGTCCTCTGAGGAAAAGGATGATGATTAAATGAACTAGATATCCTATTGTAAACATGGTAGTCAGGATGGTTAACGGATATGAGGTATTTGGAATGTCTTAAAGTGATCGTGTGTGTGTGGGAGGAGGTGAAGAAGGGATACCCAGAGTGAGACACATGGGGTAGGGAGGGATGGGGGCATTTGTCTCCCTCCTCTCTCTCTCTCTCTCTCTCTCTACTTCCTTGTCTCTCACCTTCCTCACCTCCCGTCTATCGTGGCTTCTGTGTGGCTTCAAGACTCCAATGAATTGATTTTCTTAGTCATTATTTTTATTTTATTTCTCTTTTATTCCTCTTTTATTTGTTTTATTTTTCGTCTTTCTTATTCCTTCTTCCGTGATTTTTCTGTTCTATTTACTCTTCCATGATTCTCTCGTTCCACGTTCCACAACCTTCTCTCCTCATCTCCTCTTCCATGACCTTCCTCTTCCATTTCCTCCTCCTCTTCCATTTCCTCTTCCATTTCCTCCTCCTCTTCTATTTCCTCTTCCTCTTCCAATTCCTCTTCCTTATTCTTCCTCTTCCTATAGCTCCTTTTATCACACTTCTTTCTTCTACGTATGAGTCAATTATTATTTATTTATCAAAGTTATTTATTCACATGATCGTTTATAAGTGTAAAATATTATGAATAATTTCAATAATAAAATGATAAGTAAACTCCATATGATTATTCAACCTTAAAAAAAATAGTTTATGGTAGCAGCTATTAACTAGTTTACGATGATATATATAATAATAATGGTAAAAGATATTAAATAACAACAACAACAACAACAACAACGACAACAACAGAGCACCGGGTAATACAACTCTTCAAGCTCCTTAACAACCTTATAATTGTCACCTTTAAACAACATCTTTACCTGAACAAAACAGCAAATGAAAAAAAAAAAAATATTTGTTTGTTTTCTGGTAGAGGTTTTCGACAGGTGTGAGTGGGTGAGTGTACAGGTGATTAACAGGTGAGGTCTTGTACTCACAGCAGAGGGAAGGAGGAAGGAAGGAAGGAAGGAAGGAAGGATGGATGGATGGAGGAGAGGAGGAGGATGGAAGAGGGAGGAAGTAAGAGGAAGGAAATGAATTGAGGGAAGGGGAGATAAAGGGAGGAGGGTAGAGAAGGGGAATTGAGAGGAAAAGAGAAGAAAGGAAGGAAGGGAAGGAGGAGGAAGAAGAGGAGAGAAATAAGGGAAGGAGGAAGAGTAAGGGAAGGAGGGAGAGAAAGAAGGAGGAGGTAAAGAGGAAGGGAAGGAGGAAGGAAGGGAAGGAGGGAGATAGGAAGGGAAGGAAGAGGAAGGAAGGAAGGAAGGAAGGTTAATAATACCTTTAAGTTCTATTATGTCTCTTACTTCTCTTTATTTTTTCTTGTTTCTTATCAACATTGTTTATGTCTCACGTTCGGAAAAGTAAAACAAATGGTTGATTGTTTTTTTTGAAAGATTCCGTAGTTTCTGTTGTGAGAGAGAGAGAGAGAAAAAATAAAAATAAATAAAAAACGTGAACCCGATAAAAATAAAAGTGAAAAAAAAGACAAAAAATAAAAAAAAACGAAAACAAAAATAAAATAAACAGAGACGAAACACACACACACACACACACACACACACACACACACACACACACACACACTGTACCTGTGATAATGTTCTGGCTCCTTGGGGTACAGTCTCTCTCTCTCATGTTTTAGATTCCTTGATCGAATCCCGTGTGGAGTAGATGACTGAATTCCTTATAGACTCAGCTAAAAAGGTAATCTACCTTTATCCTACCATTGGAGTGAAGTAACCCGCTAACTGTTGAATGCTATGAATCCAAGGCTTCATCACATATCTGGCTACACAATGGCTGGGTAAGGTTCATCACATATCTGGCTGCACTACACAATGGCTGGGTAAGGTTCATCACATATCTGGCTACACTACACAATGGCTGGGTAAGGTTCATCACATATCTGGCTGCACTACACAATGGCTGGGTAAGGTTCATCACATATCTGGCTTAACACTACACAATGGCTGGGTAAGGTTCATCACATATCTGGTTACACATACATAAGTATAACCTTGCAACATAACAGCACTTTCTTTCATCAGTATACCAAAATGATGTTAAGTTTGTCTCAGCTACTCACGGAAACTGAGTCAGGTAAAAATCAAATACTGAATCTTAACTGAGTCGCCTATGATGACAATGAGAGAATCAGTTCAAGATCTTTAAGGAGGGCTTACCATTAATTAGGTGTTAATGTTACCTGTAAGAAATGGTGTCGTTTTTAAAAGTTACTAACTAGATACTTGTTGCCTTAGGTGGTGGATAATATTGGAGGTGAGGTGAGGTGCAGGTGCAGGTGAGGGTGGTGGGTGGTGGAGGTGCAGGTGGGTGCAGGTGGTGGGGTGAGGTGCAGGTGGGGTGAGGTGCAGGTGAGGTGCAGGTCAGGGTGAGGTGAGGTGCAGGTGCAGGTGTGAGGTGAGGTGCAGGTGTGAGGTGCAGGTGAGGTGAGGTGCAGGTGAGGAGTGCAGGTGCAGGTGAGGTGAGGCAGGTGCAGGTGAGGTGAGGTGCAGGTGCAGGTGGTGAGGTGAGGTGGTGAGGTGCAGGTGCAGGTGCAGGTGCAGGTGCAGGTGGTGGGGTGAGGTGCAGGTGGTGAGGTGCAGGTGAGGTGAGGTGCAGGTGAGGTGAGGTGAGGTGTGGGTGAGGTGGAGTGCAGGTGCAGGTGAGGGTGAGGTGGTGAGGTGGGTGGGGTGCAGGTGAGGTGCAGGTGCAGGTGCAGATGGTCAGGTGAAGGGTGCAGGTGGTGAGGTAAGGTGAGGTGAGGTGCAGGTGAGGTGCAGGTCGGAGTGAGAAGCGAGTGCAGGTGAGGTGAGTTTGGGTGATGTCTCTGAAAGATGATAGAGATCTTCTTGACTCGTTCTATCATATATGTGGCGGGGGGGGGGGGCGGGGGGGGACTTCCAAGGTTACCATACACGTAAATATTCAAATCCTCTCAAGGAATGTCTGTTTATGTTGTTGATATTATAAACACATTCCAGATAATATTCTCACATCACGATTTACATAACTGAGGAGAGTGATTTAGTTCCCCATGACCAGACTTCACTAGAATGTCCTAAGAGGAAGCCGGAGGGTATTGTCTACTCGACCAGATTACATCAACACACGAAGGATTTTTTTTTTTAGATATTTTTTTTCTTTTAGTTTGTTAAGGAATACAGATCATAAGACGCATAATAAGATACTGTTGGGAGTATTTACCCCAAGTGGTGACATGAGGGGCCACATATACACACAAGTACTTTGATTCTTTATTGATGTAATGTTGTTGTGTTCATAAATAAACTAGTGTAAATATGTGTAAAGTGTGAAGACAGATAACATCGCGAGAGGGAAGTGAGAAGGGAAGGTGTAGGGAGAGGGACGAGTGGGCCTCTACACCTTCAGGTACCCTACCTCGCCGCCTCCCACACCCAAGTATCTCAAATCACGCGAGTCTTAAAACAGTCCAGCATCAACTTTCATATCCCGCCCGGTGTGATCCTTCGTAATCCTGCAGGACGTCTACCTGCTGTCATTAGATTCCTCGGAGGAATGGGAGGCTCCCTGTCTACCGTCGGCAGCTACACCACCTACGGTGACGGGGACGGCGTTGGACTCCAAGATTCGGAAGCCATTTTTGTCAGCGATGTACTTGACGAAAAACTGCTCACCAGATGGAGACGTCCAGCTGCGACGAGGAAGTGAGGAGATGGTTAGTGGCGGCGAAGGTTTGTTAACACTCAGTAGACAACACCTTAGTCACTAGGTGTGTGTGTGTGTGTGCGTGTGTGTGTGTGTGTGATTTGTGGAATAATTAAAAAAATTATACAGTATCTATTTAATCCAGATTATGACGTCAATATAAAGTTATAATAAAATCGTTTTAGGAATCAGGTTCATATAGGGAGGACCTACCTGTAGGAGCCTGTGATGGTGTTGTCTTCGTCAATGTCCATGTCCTGGTGAAAGTCCTCTACGGAGAGGTCCAGGATGGATTCAGGGCGGGCGGCTACCAGGGAGACCAGACCCAGGAGGACGAGGAGAACCTGAGGAGACGAGGGAGACAGTCATGGTGAAGGAGGGAGATTGTTCAGCCACACACACACACACGACTCACGCTCTAATATGAATCCCACTAAATGTGTTCAGTCAAGGTAGAATCGAGCGACCATGAACAAAATTAAATTGACATGACATCTTGCTGTCAAACCAGAACTGAACCTAAAGAAAAAAAACACATTAAATTAGAGAGAGTTAACAAGACACAGGTGTTATTGAACTGCTGCCAAATAAGAGACAATAAGAGTTAATCTATCACTTGACTCATATATAATCTATCGTAACTTTAATGGTTTAACAACGAGTGAGAAATACAATTACTCCTCAAGTTAAAATATCTTTCTCATTTTAATTAAACTCTCACCTCACCTCAGAAATCTTCTTCACCTTGCTTAAATTAAATAATAAATCTGTCTACGATTAACACTTATCACATTTTAACCTAGATTTAATTTCAGATTATTGGTAACGTATTTAATAATGTCTGAGTGAGTGTACAGTTCTCCCTCCCCAAACACGACTTGTGATCACCGGGGAAGCAAAAAGAATCACAGTGAATTTCAGATCAATGTTTTAGACGATCCTAACAGTTGCATAAAGTGAAATCTCCACATGATGGACTTGTCTATTAGAATCCGTTATTGGGGGTTTCGTATCTAACGGACACTCGGATGTAACGGACTTTCATCTTTATAGTTCGTTAGGTCAAGTTTTTTCACATCTATAACGGACACCTTGATATAACGGATTTTTTCCCATTAGCAAAGTTTATTATTTCATCCCATTGTGAACTGTTACTCACGGAGCAGTTACTCAGGGATCAAGGAACAGTAACTCACGAAACAGTAATTCACAGAGCATCAGTAACTCCAGGAACAATAACTCAAGGTTCAAGGAACACTATCTCACGTATCAAGGAGCAGCAACTCACGGAACAACAGTAACTCAAGGAACAATAACTCAAAGATCAAGAAACAGTATCTCACGGATCAAGGAGCAGTAACTCACGGAAGAGCAGTAACTCAAGGAACAATAACTCAAAGATCAAGAAACAGTATCTCACGGATCAAGGAGCAGTAACTCACGGAAGAGCAGTAACTCAAGGAACAATAACTCACGGAGCACTTCATGATGGACAGTGGTGGTGGAGGTGGAGACGAGTGTGTTGTCTAGGACGGGAGTATCAAGCATTTTATACGTGGTAAACCAGGTCAGGTTCTAACTCCTGACTTACCTTGATTGTTTGTCAACCACACCAAGTTACTCTGTTTAAATACTAAAGGTTAAGTAAAGCTTGAACTGGCCACTACTTGAGTTGGCTTGTGTGTTGACCTCAATAGCCTCACCACGCCCTTACCTCATTACTGTCTCTAGTGTTGCCATTGTCATCGTCATTATCATCGTCATTATCATCGTCATCATCAGCAATAGAAGTACTACTTTCTACCACTACCACTACTATCACCACTAGAACACACATCCACACACACATCCACCCACTCACCCACCCACACACACACCCACACCCACACACACACTACCTACAACTACATTAGGTGTGAACTAACAACAAAAACAATAGCAAAAAGTATATAAAAAAAATCAGTACAGGTAAAAGGTACAGATACATCACAGGTAGATAATTTTAATAGCTCCCCAAAGGACCCATCCACTGTGTTAATAGCTCCAATTAATAGATTTAATAGCTCCAACAGATAGATTTAATAGTTCCAACAGATAGATTTAATAGCTCCAACAAATAGATTTAATAGCTCCAACAAATAGATTTAATAGCTCTAACTAATAGATATAATAGCTGCAACTAATAGATTAATAGCTCCAAATAATAGATTTAATCGCCCCAACTAATAGATATAATAGCTGCAACTAATAGATATAATAGCTCCAACTAATAGATATAATAGCTCCAACTAATAGATATAATAGCTCCAACTAATAGATATAATAGCTCCAACTAATAGATATAATAGCTCCAACTAATAGATATAATAGCTCCAACTAATAGATATAATAGCTCCAACTAATAGATATAATAGCTCCAACTAATAGATATAATAGCTCCAACTAATAGATATAATAGCTCCAACTAATAGATATAATAGCTCCAACTAATAGATATAATAGCTCCAACTAATAGATATAATAGCTCCAAACTAATAGATATAATAGCTCCAACTAATAGATATAATAGCTCCAACTATAATAGCTCAACTAATAGATATAATAGCTCCAACTAATAGATATAATAGCTCCAACTAATAGATATGGCTCAACTAATAGATATAATAGCACCAACTAATAGATATAATAGCTCCAACTAATAGATCTAATAGCTCAACTAATAGATATAATAGCTCAACTAATAGATATAATGAAAACTTCAACTAATAGATATAATAAAACCAACTAATAGATATAATAACAAGCTCCAACTTCATAGATATAATAGCTCCAACTAATAGATATAATAGCTCCAACTATAGATATAATAGCTCCAACTAATAGATATAATGGCTCCAACTAGCAGATATGGATATATGGCTCAACTAATAGATATAATGGCTCAACTAGCTAGATATAATGGCTCAACTAATAGATATAATGGCTCAACTAATAGATATAATAGCTCAACTAATAGATATAATAGCTCCAACTAATAGATATAATAGCTCCAACTAATAGATATAATAGCTCCAACTAATAGATATAATCGCCCCAACTAATAGATATAATAGCTCCAACTAATAGATATAATCGCCCCAACTAATAGATATAATAGCTCCAACTAATAGATATAATAGCTCCAACTAATAGATATAATAGCTCCAACTAATAGATATAATAGCTCCAACTAATAGATATAATCGCCCCAACTAATAGATATAATAGCCCCAACAGTTAGATTGCTCAATACTATTTCTTCATTCAGTAACCCTGACACCCCGACACATAATATTAATAGCTATTAATTAAAGGTGGATTGGTTAGTTTAGGTTAGGTTAGGTTAAGGAAATTGATCTCTGAGTGTATTTCCCAGTCAGGAGATACATAACAGTAACCGTATATATACAGTCATACAGTCATACAGTCTTATTACTCTCTCTCTCTCTCTCTCTCTCTCTCTCTCTCTCTCTCTCTCTCTCTCTCTCTCCATATACAAAGTAGATGGCCAATTAAACACCTAAAGTACATAATTATGCTAGACCTCCATTACACAACACGGGTTAAAGCGTTTGTTTACTAAAAAATTGCGTGGGAGGAATATATGGTAACAGGATGGAGGGCAGCTGGTTCACTGACTCCTAGACGTCAGACCGGCCAAACCCATCTCAACCGATAAGCCTCTTGCAAGCTACTGAGTATATCAAGGTCATTCTCGACTGATAAACGGTATACTGTATATACGTATAGTCATAAATATAATAGTTAATTTGAATGAAATGATCGGAAATTTGGTATATAAAATTAATCTAAAATTAATTCATGTATTTTAACCAGTAGCTTGATGACTTGATAATATTTTAGTCATAATATTTAATTACCTCGTTACAGGAAGAGTATTTAAGGAAAGGCGGTGGCTCGGTGGATAACAGTACTCGTTTCTTGTCCATGTAGTCACTGGTTCGCCCCTCGAATATCCACCAGCTAGGTTAGGTTTGGGTGATGAAGGCAGCTGTGCGTAGTGGCAGTCTTCTTGTTAAACTTAAGCTTGGCGAACAGTGTGCAATAGCAATAATAATAATAATAATAATAATAATAATAATTCAGAAACGAAGACTTAGAAGCGATAGATTTAAACATCAAACACTCAGAAGCCAAGTAAACACACCCAGCAAGCAATACATCTAGCGAACATTTATTAAGTCTACAGCAAATTTATTCCCCAGAGGCCAATAACACCTGTGCACTTTCACCTGGTAAACAAATACACGTGATAGACTAAATACATCACCAGGTATGTATAAATCCCCTCCCCCCTCCATCTCCCCCCTCCCCTCCCCTCCCCTCCATCTCCCCTCCCCCCCTTCCCCTCCCCCCTTCCCCCCCTCCAAACCAGTTAGTAACATCAACTTTGTCACAAAAACACAAACGCTCAGAGGACCAAGAGGTGATAATTATGGTGTTTCTTTAATTTAATTTTTCTACAAACTTTCGCGAATCCTTTAGTAGAAAATATAAATACAAAATTGATGTTACCTTTTCGTGGTGTGTTCATATTAATCGTTGCTTCGTTCAGTTTAAGTTCAATAAAATATCTTGAACGAGTCAGTAAGTAGATGAGTGTCATCAGTATAAACCAGTCACCAGCTTCTCTTATAAATTAGCTTAGTATTGGAACCTGCAGTAGTAAACAAACCAAATATCAAAATGGTATCACGTAAATCTTGTGAAAAGATTAAATTACCAAATACGTATTATAATTTGTTTTAAACTTGATAAAAGTACTATTCTTCCTCTCTTATTCCCTTTAGATAAGTGAAGAGATGAGTAAATAAATAAGTAAATTGGTAAATAAACAAAGGTATTCATCAGAGATATAAGGAGAGAGACGGAGGAACAAAAAAGTTGACAATCTACAAGCGCTCAACAACGACACCGCCAGGCCAGAGAGCTGTAGTCTTTAATATTCGTTCCTTCAGGCTCTTCCCCCCGTTTCCCAAGCCCCCTACATCCCTCTCCCCCCTTCCAGAGTCTCCTACATCCCCCTTTCTCCCTTCTCTAGCAGTGCCGGATTAACCATGAGGCACTTGAGGCACTGGCCTCAGGCCCCCCCCGACTCTAAGGGGCCCCCAAATCCAAACATTCTCGAAGTTGAAGCGTATAAAACATGAACTTCGTTCACCGATGTCCTAGCAACGTCTCAATTTTCTGTCTCTTATGAACATTAAATGTGTTATTTTGCAGAAGCTTAATATTGATGAAATCATTGATAAATTTGGGTATATTTTGTTCTTGTTATTTATATATACCTTGAGGGTAGGGGGCCCCAAGTTGATCTGTGCCTCAGGCCCATATTAAGCTTAATCTGGCCCTGTTCTCTAGCCCCCCACACCACCCTGTCCCCTTCCAGAGCCTCCTATACCCCACTTTCTCCTTTCCCTAGTCTCCTACAAACCCTTCTCCCTTACAGAGCCTCCTACACCACCCCCCATCCCTATTCTCCTAGACTCCCCCTCTCCCTTAGCCCCATAAATTCCGCCCCCTCCCCTGCTCCCTCCCCCCATTGACCTTTTCCCGACACGTGACCCCAACCCACCATCTCTACTCAGACCCAGCCACGCCCCGGTACTCTACGCTAACCCTTTTCACCCTCACCTGACGAGCGTTCCAGTACACCTTTTCACCCTCACCTGACGAGCCTTCCAGTACACCTTTTCACCCTCACCTGACGAGTCTTCCAGTACACCTTTTCACCCTCACCTGACGAGCGTTCCAATACATATTTTCACCCTCACCTAACGAGCCTTCCAGTACACCTTTTCACCCTCACCTGACGAGCCTTCCAGTACTGCATCACAGTCGACTGGCCAAAAGTTTGTATTTCAAGGAATTATATTTATTAACAAATTCAAGAACTGTTTATATAATGTCAGCATAATGTGGAAGCTACAAACACATTGGCCAACACTATGGAAATATTATGAGAGTCTTGTCTCATCAACTATATAATTGATGACTCGTGTTGATGAGGCTCCAGTAGTGATGATGTTTGGTAAAAGGAAGATTAGCCTGAGTGAGATAATTAACTGTATTGAATTTCAAAAAAGAACTACTGCACTAACCTAACCTAACCTAACCTAACCTAACCTAACCTAACCTAACCTAACCTAACATACCTCCCCCACCCGTTTGCTAAATAACATCAATGAGAATTATAATGGAAGATTCTGAGTATTTAACAAGTGAGGAATAAAAACATAGATATCATGATTGTCTTTTATTTTAGGAATAAATTAAGGAAGACATAAAGAATTTGATGAAAAACTTCAGGTTTGGTCGTGTGAACATTTAACTGTAAAGTGGATTTACAGTTAACACTGACCAAACTGTAGAAGACGTCGTGTTTAGTTGCCCAGAATATTGACAGTCGAGTTCCTCCAGTCATGACAGTCACTCGGTCCTGTCAACACTCCGAGGTTCAGTCGTAATCTGTCGTTTCCATAGATCTTTAAATCCTGTCGGGGAGTTCCTCAGAGGATGTGAAGGATCCCTGGTTACCATCGGCCCTCACGCCGGCGTTGCTGATGGGGACGGCGTTAGACTCGACAATGCGGAAGCCATCATCGTCAGCAACGTATTTGATGAAGTATTGTATGCCTTCAGGAGTCATGAAGCTGAAACGGGAGGAAGATGGCGTGAGAAATTAAACACTGAAAAAATATTTAGACATTAGACAAAACAGTAGACATTATAACAAATCCTCGACATTAAAATTAACACTTAGACATTAGTAGTTGAAAACATTAAAACAAGAGAACTTTTACCCTTTACCTCGATAGTGAATAAATGTCTTGACAGAGTGACATTTAAGGTGAAAACATTCGTCATGGTAAGACGGACACCTGAGGGTCAATGTCATACCTGCCAACGATTCGCTGTCGTAATGTGAAGATTTTTTTTCGTTTTTTTCGATAAAGTCGATGTTTGTTCTTATGTATTCTTAAAGTTTCGTTGTGCATTTAAATTAACATGTTCTCTTTACAGGATTTGACTATTATCTTCAAAGGGTTAAACTGTCGTCCTCAAAGGGTTAAACTATCGTCTCAAAGGGATAAACCTGCCAGTCATCAAAGGGTTAAACTGTCGTCCTCAAAGGGTTAAACTATCGTCTTCAAAGGGATAAACCTGTAGTCATCAAAGGGTTAAACCATAGACCTCAATGGGATAAATATCGTCTTCAGAGAGTTCAAGATAAATATAAAATCCAAAACAGGTGAGCCACAACCACCACACTCACCTGTAGGAGCCGGTGAAGGTGTTGTCGTCGTCAATGCTCTGGTCATGGTGCATGTCGTCCATATCGAAGTCGAAGACACTGTCGGGGCGAGCGGCGACCAGGGCGGACAGAGCCAGGAGGACGAGCACCTGACGGAGGAGGGCGTGAGAAAACAACACTACACAAGACTTCTACTACAGGAGAGAGAGTATCACCTACGTCTTATACCTAATACCTGGTGATGTTTTGATGTCTGCCTCAAGGAGTCTCAGAGCAACATACTAGAGAGGATATTTTAATGTTACTTCACTATACTGAAAGAAGATTAAAGTGAATAATGTATGTAGGCCAATCACCGATCAGAGAGAGAGAGAGAGAGAGAATGGACACAACTTACGATACACTTCATGTTGGTTGGTGGTGATGGTAGCAGGTTGTGATACTCAGAGGCAGCTGTGACGGTTTATATAGTCGGTGGGCGGGAGCTAACGTTGCCACACCCTCCCCTACCCAACACTACCCTACCCTGCCCAACCCTACCCTACCATACCCTACCATACCCTACCCTACCCTACCCAACCCTACCCTACCCTACCCTACCCTACCATACCCTACCCTGCCCAACCCTACCCTACCATACCCTACCATACCCTACCCTACCCTACCCAACCCTACCCTACCCTACCCTACCCTACCATACCCTACCCTACCCAACCCTACCCAACCCTACCCTACCATACCCTACCCTGAACCCTATCCTACCCTACACCGCTATCATCATATCCTCCTCATAATAGTCTGAGAAAATATTCATCATCTTATTACCGTTTCTCCATCGTTTATCTCTTCTCTCTATACACAGGTACACCACAGGAAGTATCACTACACCTTATACACCTCGTTATATGTTAGTAATGGTTAATAATCTTTTGTTATGTGTTATAAATGTTGGATTAATTGGTAACTTTCGTCTTCAATGCAGGTCAAGGTTGGAGAAAGTCCCTAACAAAAAAATATGATATAATGACGCCTCCCTGTTCCTCTACCTACGCCTGTTGCTACCTACTCAGAGCTTGTCCTTCACAGCTATAGCTTCCTCCCCCACAGCTATAGCCTCTCCCTACATCTATAGCCTCCCCCCCCCCCAAAGCTATAACCTCCCCCTCCCACAGCTATAGCCTCCCCCTCCCACAGCTATACCCCCCACAAACACCCTGGACAGTTGAAGCAAAATATTTCCTCATAAGAAAAATAAAATCCTTAACTCGATATTATTCTTATTAATTAAAAAATAAACTTAACAAATTATCAAATATATGTTAATTAATCCCGACAACTCTTCATGGTGTTATTTAGAGTCGCTTAGTTCGTTTTATTTGTCTGTTAATTAGAGGCAGGTGAGTCAGGCATGCTACTCAGCGCCTACGTTAGGATAGGATAGGATAGGTTAGGTTAGGTCTTAAGGTATAGCTATAGTGGTGGCCTCTGTGAGTGATGGATACAACTATAGAAGTAATTATGGATGTTAGTCTCTCTCTCTCTCTCTCTCTCTCTCTCTCTCTCTCTCTCTCTCTCTCTCTCCAGACACCTTACACTGGGTCAACTCGTCTATCAGGTGTCAGTGAATTAGGACACGAACATACGGACACGAGGAACGAGGGGGCGGCATCTGGCTCTCTATGGGGTAGTGGTGGTGGATGTGGATGTGGTAGTAATTGTGGTAGTAATGGTGGTAGCGGATAAGATAGTATTGTACAGATCAATAATATACAGGTAGAGTAATATTGAAAGACGGGTAATATTCAGTCCTGGAAGATGTTGGTCCACTTCCTTCATGCATTTGCTATGGATAATATGAATCTTTATCCTATTCTTGTCTACAGTGATATTTCATTGTATATATATATTAGAAAAGCATTGAATTACCCTAATAGTTCAGATAGCTATTAATTTACTAGCAACGTTAGAACAAAATCGAGTGGTCTAGTTACGTACACTATAGTTATGACGGTAGGTATTAAAACACTTACTTCAAGATGTCAAGGTGAGGTGACGCGCCCTGTAGAGTGAGGGAGGAAGGGACGGGTGGCCACTCGATAGTACCCAACCTGTACTTTTTACTGACACCACCTGACAATGACCTGTATATAGGGAGGATGTTGTTTGTTACTCTTTTAAGGACGTTAATATTACTGTGTATATGGAAGGATTTATGAGTTTATGAGTGATTCTATAGTTTATATTATAGAGAAGGAGGAAAGAGTTAGCAGTATACTCAGGGGTATTGGTGACGATAGCGTGTTGTAGTGAGGATGTGTGGTAGTGTCAGGAAGGGAGGGTCAGGTGGGTGTGGCCATGTGTGCCACCTACGTATATAACCTGGCATCACCAGTTTGGGGACATCACATCTTGGCTTACCACTGATCAACATGAAGTACCTCGTGAGTTGTGTTCCTCCTGCTGGGGAGGTGACTGACTATAATAACTGGCGCCTCTCCAAAGGTTTTCTCATCTGTTCACGGGAGTTAAAGTTTACTTCTTGAAACTGAAGCCTCCAAAACCTTAGTTGAAGCTTTAAAATAGGTTAATTTTATATATAACTGTAAGCTGCCGGTAACTCTTGGATGTTATTCCAAACCAAATAAAAATAATCATACTGCTCATAGTAATTTTTATCGTGTTAAATAATTAATCAGGAAAGGTTAAGTTTTATTAGATAAATGTTTAAAGCGATATAGATGTTTACAAACGTATGTATGTGTGTGTGTGTGCGTTACACCTCTCTGCTCACACGTGTTTCACTGTGTTCTGTGACTCTGTTTCTGTTCGATGTATCTTATCAACTTCTATTCTCCCTCCGTCAGGTTCTCGTCCTCCTGGGTCTGGCCGCCCTGGTCGCCGCCCGCCCCGACAATGTCTTCGATCTGGACGACTTGCACCACGACCAAGACATCGACGACGACAACACCTACACCGGCACCTACAGGTGAGTGTGGTGCCTCTGTACTTGTTGCTTGGTAACTGTGGTGTTGTTCACCTGGACTCAGGCTGATGAAGATGGTCCTGAGTGTTGCACACGTTATCAGGTCATGAGTTAGTGGTTAATGTGGTGGGAGTCTCTTGAGGATTTATGTAATGATGAAAGTTATCAATAGTCGAGATAACAATTAATAACATGTCCAGACGCCTGATAACAACCAAATGGTTTACGGATGAATTAATGAACATTACAAGAGACCGGAATACATAGATACATAAACCTGTGTAACCAAGAAGCTTCTGATGACAATATATATATTCGTGTTGCAGGTTCATGACTCCCGAAGGCGTTGAATACTTCGTCAGGTACGTCGCTGACGACGATGGCTTCCGTGTCCTTGAGTCTAACGCCGTCCCCGCCAGCGACGCCGGTGTGAAGGCCGACGGTAACCAGGGATCCTTCACGTCCTCTGAGGAACTCGACGACAGGAAGTAAATGTCCTCCGTGAGAACCTGACCACATAACGTGAAGAGCTCGACCCCACCAGCGTTCACCAGGACCTTGTGGCTGACGTTCTCTACACGATGTTGCTGATACTCCTGACCCACATGAATCTTACTAATTTATTCGCATATATTGTAAAATTTCCTTAAATTAAAGAGATATTTCACATGACTGTGTTTAACTGTTGTACCTTTGAGAGACTGACACTACCCAGCGTGGGCGGCTCAGGGGCGTGTTTACCTGAGTTGTGGCTGTTGTTTTGTTGTTCGTTATCTCCCCAGCCTTCTTAAAGATATATACAGGTGTGATTGTTTTACTCGAGAACCCTAAATAATTTATATACACTAAAAAGTATATCAGTTGGGAACCTAATTTTTTGCCTAAATGTTGCTTTATGTTACAGAAAGAAATAATGTGATCACATGATTTACCACGTGACCCGGCAGTGGCGCTTCACGGTTTTCACTCCTCACGTCATGGCGCTCACAACACACACACACACACACACACAGTGAGAGCCATGGCGCTCACAACACACACAATCCTCGACACCGGCTCCTACTACCACCTGAGATCCCTAGCCCGAGAATTGCTGTTCGACACCACAACCGCATCCAGCCCATACGTGCACGAACTGATCGCTATAAGAACAGCCCAGTCCCAACCATTGTAAAAATTATCAATAACTTGTAATAAACCAGTGTATTCACTCCCAGTAAACACTACTTCTTGCACTGTCACTATGTTGAAATGCCCTGTAGTTTGAACTTTTCCCCATCTAGTTATTATATATTTTATTTATGTCACTTATGTTATTTGTATATCATTTGTAATTCGAAACCCATTCCCCAATTATGTAACTGTATATTTTCAGCCTTCTGGCTGCCAAGCTCTTTCAATAAACCGTTAATTATTATTATTATTATTATTATTATTACACACACACACACACAGTGAGAGCCATGGGGCTCACAAAACACAAACACACACGAGCCTTGGCGTGATTAAGTGAAAACCGTTAAGCGCCAGTGAAAAAAAGCGGTTCATAGGATCCAGTCCGTCTCTTATACTTAACTTTCTTAATTGCTTCTTATGGTCGCCAGCTCCACTCTACTGGGTTGCCTAGGAGACAGACAGTGCGGTACTGACCAAGGCAGAATAACACGTGTAGTTGTTCCCTAGCTGTCAGTTGTCTTACTCAGTGTAATAATCCTGACGGTGTGTTTCTTAGAGTCAGCAGTTGGTGTGACGAAGGTTTCATCCAGCTGGTGACTTGACTGTGGTGAAGCATCTCTTGGTGAGCTTCTTAGTGTCGTGCATCACATCCACTACAGTTTCTACAGCTAAGGGCGTGAAGACCGTACCACTAGACTGTCACCTCTTCGTAGATACATAAGTTTGAGTGTCGAGTAGGAGAGCAACGTGAAGAGCTGTACCATTATGCTGGACTTGTTGATCGAGGAGGACGAACTGAGAGAACTAACACATTGGAGGATACATTCTCCTTTGGTTGACTTAATCATCAACTGAGGCGATATATCATAATGGGACTATCTTAGGCCTTAGGTGGGGGCTGCTCTAGGTGATGGGGGCTATGAATAATATACCAGTGAGCTGAAGTGTTATATTCCAATAGAGTTTCTCATGAGTATAGGATATCCAGTATAAATCCCCACCAGTACATTGGTTATATATAGTCCACGACGCAGTGCACACGTCTAGACCAGAGAGTGAGTTTTGCATGTTCCTGAAGTTCGTCTTGGGCAAGTTAGTCAATTTTAACCTGAGGAGAATGTTGATGACTCCTCACACACACAAGGTGACGTGTGACCCGGGGACAGAGGCAGCTAGGTGGACCCGAAGACCGGAGGAAGTCAGGTGTGTGTGTGTGTGTTTGTGTGTGTGTGTGTTTGTGTGTGTTTGTGTGTGTGTGTGTGTGTGTGTGTGTGTGTGTTTGTGTGTGTGTGTGTTTGTGTTAAACTATTTCTCTCTGTGTAATTCACTAAACGAATTATGGATGAATTATATAAATATGTCGATAATATACTAAATTTTATAACATATGCGATTATATAGATAGAAATATAACGTGATTAGATAAAGGTAGATGTTATTTAATTATAAGTTAAATAGGGTATTCATTATTTATTTTTCTTATGTAGTTTGTAATACATAGTGAAGTTCTTTTGTTAGTAAATTAATGTAGGTCATGAGACTCAATAACAGCAAAGGCTTCAGGCTCAGTATTCTAAGTTTCCAGAGTAAAGTCTAAGATGGTCGGGTCTCAGAGTGTCGAGGCCAGGGTAGGGGGTGGGGGACGACAGCCGGTCTTTGCTACCCGGCTGTAGTTTTTCTGATAACAGTTGGCAATGACCCGCATAAGGGAGGAGAGTTGTTGCTTGTGCTTTTAGAGTGAGTCATTTTACTGTGTGTATGACTATATTTGAGTGTCTTGGGAGGGTAAATCTATACTTTATATTATGGAGAAGGAGGAAAGAGCTAGCAGTATACTCAGGGGTATTGGTGACGATAGCGTGTTGTAGTGAGGATGTGTGGTAGTGTCAGGAAGGGAGGGTCAGGTGGGTGTGGCCATGTGTGCCACCTATATAACCTGGCATCACCAGTTTGGGGACATCACATCTTGGCTTACCACTGATCAACATGAAGTACCTCGTGAGTTGTGTTCCTCCTGCTGGGGAGGTGACTGACTATAATAACTGGCGCCTCTCCAAAGGTTTTCTCATCTGTTCATGGGAGCTAAATTTGACTTATTTATTTTATCTAGAGTTATTTTTTAGATCGATTCCAAAATAAATTAAGAGAAACTCCTAAAAATATGTACAGTAATAAGATGTTCATTCATTATAGAATTTAAAGCTGCCGGTAAACGTTGGATGTTAATTTATATATTAAATAATCAACAATTTTTTAATTTATTTATCCAACTGTTTAAAGGTATCTACCGTGTATGTTTACAAACGTATGTGTGTGTGTGTGTGTGTGTGTGTGTTACACCTCTCTGCTCACACGTGTTTCACTGTGTACTGTGACTCTGTTTCTGTTCGGTGTATCTTATCAACTTCTATTCTCCCTCCGTCAGGTTCTCGTCCTCCTGGGTCTGGCCGCCCTGGTCGCCGCCCGCCCCGACAATGTCTTCGATCTGGACGACTTGCACCACGACCAAGACATCGACGACGACAACACCTACACCGGCACCTACAGGTGAGTGTGGTGCCTCTGTACTTGTTGCTTGGTAACTGTGGTGTTGTTCACCTGGACTCAGGCTGATGAAGATGGTCCTGAGTGTTGCACACGTTATCAGGTCATGAGTTAGTGGTTAATGTGGTGGGAGTCTCTTGAGGATTTATGTAATGATGAAAGTTATCAATAGTCGAGATAACAATTAATAACATGTCCAGACGCCTGATAACAACCAAATGGTTTACGGATGAATTAATGAACATTACAAGAGACCGGAATACATAGATACATAAACCTGTGTAACCAAGAAGCTTCTGATGACAATATATATATTCGTGTTGCAGGTTCATGACTCCCGAAGGCGTTGAATACTTCGTCAGGTACGTCGCTGACGACGATGGCTTCCGTGTCCTTGAGTCTAACGCCGTCCCCGCCAGCGACGCCGGTGTGAAGGCCGACGGTAACCAGGGATCCTTCACGTCCTCTGAGGAACTCCACGACAGGAAGTAAATGTCCTCCGTGAGAACCTGACCACATAACGTGAAGAGCTCGACCCCACCAGGGTTCACCAGGACCTTGTGGCTGACGTTCTCTACACGATGTTGCTGACACTCCTGACCCACATGAATCTAACTAATTTATTCGTATATATTGTAAATTTTCTTTAAATTAAAGGAATATTTTATATGACTGTGTTTAACTGTTGTACCTTTGAGAATGTACCTGTATGTTACAGCAGACGGCATTATTATTATTATTATTATTATTATTATTATTGTTGTTATTATTATCATTATTATTATCAGGGTCCCGCTGGCAGTGATCCTAACTATGTGTTTATTATTTAAGTTATCTTCAGATCCACAGGTTTCATAATAGATAAATAGCGATAAATGAATTAATAGACAGTAAAATAGACAGGTAAGGAGATACAGGGGACAGATAGATATTTAGATAGAGCTAAATATCAAATTAAATATAGACAAGTCAGCTTAGGAAGAAATGCTGAGTTCTTATTTGTTTATTTTTATTTTGCCAACATTAAATTTCTCGGGAACAGAAGTTTGTCACTATAACGTATCTTATGAAGTGCTGTTGGGTCTCCAGATGACCATGCCCGCGCCATCTGTTGACAAAATAATGAACTGACAGAAAATTTCAGCCAATGAGACAACAATGTGGGAATATTGAACCAATCAGAAAACAGCTCTGTAAGGTGGCGTTATCAGAAGGAACCAAGAGACAAGTAAATTAGGTAGTTATGCTTGTTTCATACGTAGTTTATCTTGGAAGGTCTAAGCAACAGACCTTGCTTATGACTTGCTATTCTCATTGGCTGAATATGGCGATGATGTTTTCTGATTGGCGGAAGGAGAGAAGAATCAGAGCCCCAACAGCATGACATAAAAGACCATTGTTAAAATTATATGCTACGTGCTGTGTCTATACCTGTCTAATTATTATTATTATTATTATTATTATTATTATTATTATTATTATTATTATTATTATTATTATTATTATTATTATTATTATTGTTATTATTATTGTTGTTGTTATTATTGTTAGTATTATTGTTGTTGTTTTTGTTGTTATCACGAGCACGAAGGTCAATGCCGTATTTATCTACTTAACTATCCACGGACAGAGACAACATATGTTTAAGTATAGAAAATCCTACTCTATACACACAAACATCAAAGGACTCTATAAACACAAACATCAAGGGACTCTATACACACAAACATCAAGGGACTCTATAAACACAAACATCAAAGGACTCTATAAACACAAACATCAAGGGACTCAGTAAACACAAACATCAAGGGACTCTATAAACACAAACACCAAAGGACTCTATAAACACAAACATCAAGGGACTCTATAAACACAAACATCAAGGGACTCTATAAACACAAACATCAAGGGACTATAAACACAAACATCAAGGGACTCTATAAACACAAACATCAAGGGACTCTATAAACACAAACATCAAGGGACTCTATAAACACAAACATCAAGGGACTCTATAAACACAAACATCAAGGGACTCTATAAACACAAACATCAAGGGACTCTATAAACACAAACATCAAGGGACTCTATAAACACAAACATCAAGGGACTCTATAAACACAAACATCAAGGGACTCTATAAACACAAACATCAAGGGACTCTATAAACACAAACATCAAGGGACTCTATAAACACAAACATCAAGGGACTCTGTAAACACAAACATCAAGGGACTCTATAAACACAAACATCAAGGGACTCTATAAACACAAACATCAAGGGACTCTATAAACACAAACATCAAGGGACTCTATAAACACAAACACAAGGGACTCTATAAACACAAACACCAAGGGACTCTATAAACACAAACATCAAGGGACTCAACAAACATCAAGGGACTCTATAAACACAAACACCAAGGGACTCTGTAAACACAAACACCAAGGGACTCTAAGGGACAACACAAACATCCATAAACACAAAGGGGACATCTATAATACAAACACCAACTCTGGAGGGACTCTATAAACAAACACAGGACAAGGGACTCTATAACACAAACACCAAGGGACTCTAAGCACAAACACCAAGGGACTCTATAAACACAAACATCAAGGGACTCTATAAACACACAACACCAAAGGGACCTCTATAGGGACTCTAAACACAAAATCAAGGGACAAACACAAACATCAAGGACTCTATAAACACAAACATCAAGGACTCTAAACACAAACATCAAGGGACTCTATCAAGGACTCTTAAACACAAACACAAGGGACTCTATAAACAAACATCAAGGGACTCAAGGGACATAAACACAAACATCAAGGGACTCTATAAACACAAACATCAAGGGACTCAAAACACAAACAAAGGGACTCAAGGGACTCTATAAACACAAACACCAAGGGACTCTATAAACACAAACACCAAGGGACTCTATAAACACAAACATCAAGGGACTCAACACACAAACATCAAGGGACTCTATAAACACAAACACCAAGGGACTCTATAAACACAAACACCAAGGGACTCTATAAATCCCAGGTACATTAAACTGTAATCAAAACAAAATTACATCCCAAGAAGAGATAACTGGGAGTCTCTGTGGGATAAAATCATCTGGTTTTCCTGTCGTCATGTAGTGAAGAGCTGAGTAGGGTAGCAAAGGGAGGGAGTGAGATATTGGATACAACTCACTTTATTCTCAACAACAACATGACCATTTTTTTCACTTCCTGGCTAAAAAATAATCAAATATTTATAAAATTAATACAAAATCTATGAGTAAAGTATATGTGTAAGGTCTTAGGGGCAGAAATGAGATGTTAATTTTCGAACCTTATTATTTGTTAACTTAATAGATACAGTATGTGCCTATTAAAGTATGGAAATAGTAAATAATTTATGGTAATTCTTGTTTTATATGAGGTTTGTTTATATTAACTTTCTGATACTTAATATTTAGAGTAGGTATCATGTTTACGTGATAGGTGGCCAAGTCTGCATGCCTACGCCATCTATTGGGGAAGAAATAAACCCTCTACTACTTTAGCTACTAGGAAACCAACTTCAGGACATTCAACCAATAAAAACAGAGATTCATAGAAGAAGGTTGTTGATATGGCCTAGACGCCGGAGGAGTCAAACAAGCACAACTACCGTGTTGGTTGTTATTAAGCTCCGCCCTCTAATGACGTTATTTTCCAGGATCAATGCAACCCTTTTCTATGATTGGCTGATTATTCCCGGGCTGTTGTCTCATTGGTTGAAACTTTCGGTGAGTTTATTATTTTGTCAACAGATGGCGCGGGCATGTACTTCTGGAGACCCAACAGCGTTTCATAAGATACGTTACTGTGACGAAATTCTTGACCCGAGAAAATGAAATAATAGGCCTATTAAAGAGAAATAAAGAGAAAGATAATGAGAAATATTTAGTCTTTATTTGTGTGAAGGAAACACGAATAAATAACATCAGTAATAGCCTAACCTAACCTAATAACATAAACAGCAAGTCATAAAAGCTTTTTCCTCTTAATCTCTTGGAATAAATAATAAGAAGAATAAAATCAAACACAAACATCATTACCTATACACAGGTGTTTATTTACCTGGTCAGAGGAACACCTGAACGTGATAGGAGGGAAGAAGGACGATGGTACGTGATAGGAGGTAATAAAGAATGATTGTACGTGATAGGAGGTAATAAAGAACGACTGTACGTGATAGGAGGTAATAAAGAATGATTGTACGTGATAGGAGGTAATAAAGAATGATTGTACGTGATAGGAGGGAAGAAGGAACGATTGTACGTGATAGGAGGTAATAAAGAACGATTGTACGTGATAGGAGGTAATAAAGAACGATTGTACGTGATAGGAGGTAATAAAGAACGACTGTACGTGATAGGAGGTAATAAAGAATGATTGTACGTGATAGGAGGTAATAAAGAACGATTGTACGTGATAGGTGGTAATAAAGAATGATTGTACGTGATAGGAGGTAATAAAGAACGATTGTACGTGATAGGAGGTAATAAAGAACGATTGTACGTGATAGGTGGTAATAAAGAACGATTGTACGTGATAGGAGGTAATAAAGAACGATTGTACGTGATAGGTGGTAATAAAGAACGATTGTACGTGATAGGTGGTAATAAAGAACGATTGTACGTGATAGGTGGTAATAAAGAATGATTGTACGTGATAGGAGGTAATAAAGAACGATTGTACGTGATAGGAGGTAATAAAGAACGATTGTACGTGATAGGAAGTAAGAAAGAACGATTGTACGTGATAGGAAGTAAGAAAGAATGATTGTACGTGATAGGATGTAATAAAGAACGATTGTACGTCATAGGTAGTAAGAAAGAACGATTGTACGTGATAGGAGGTAATAAAGAATGATTGTACGTGATAGGAAGTAATAAAGAACGATTGTACGTGATAGGAGGTAATAAAGAACGATTGTACGTGATAGGAGGTAATAAAGAACGATTGTACGTGATAGGTGGTAATAAAGAACGATTGTACCTGATAGGTGGTAATAAAGAATGATTGTACGTGATAGGAGGTAATAAAGAACGATTGTACGTGATAGGAGGTAATAAAGAACGATTGTACGTGATAGGAAGTAAGAAAGAACGATTGTACGTGATAGGAAGTAAGAAAGAATGATTGTACGTGATAGGAGGTAATAAAGAACGATTGTACGTGATAGGAGGTAATAAAGAATGATTGTACGTGATAAGAGGTAATAAAGAACGATTGTACGTGATAGGTGGTAAGAAAGAATGATTGTACGTGATAGGAGGCAATAAAGAACGATTGTACGTGATAGGAGGTAATAAAGAACGATTGTACGTGATAGGTAGTAAGAAAGAACGACTGTACGTGATAGGAGGTAATAAAGAACGATTGTACGTGATAGGAGGTAAGAAAGAACGATTGTACGTGATAGGAGGTAGGAATGACGACTGTTTTATGATGTTCGTAGTTTTTTGGGGTCAACATTCACGTCCGGGATTTCTTGTTAGAGGAAATTCTTAATTATGTCTCCATTTTTTTTAAGTTCCTCGACTAAGAGTTACTGAACACCAAGATTGAGTTACATCAGAAAAATTTAGCTGTGTGAGTTCCAACAGAGGAACCTAAGGATATCAAGGAGAAAATATTATTACATTGCAGTATATAACGGGATGTGTTTTATGTATATTTTAAAAAGTAGCCACAGTTTCTACTAGACATTGAGTTATATCTGTTGTCTCAGTCCCGCCAGATGTGGAGGGTTTATCAGTGAAGTGGTTAGGTTAGGTTAGGTTAGGTTAAGTTAGGTTTCGTTATGGGGATTGTAAACATACACCGATAAGGAAGTTAACACAGGTTAGAAAGGAGAGTAAAAATTACATGACAGTAGGAAAGAGTGTGGCACAATGCAGGTAAGGTCAGATAGGGTCAGGTCGGGTCAGGTCGGGTTAGGTGGGCGTGGTCAGGGTCGCCCACTATAAAACGTGTTACCGCCGCTGCTCAGTATCACACTCTTCCACCGACCACCACCATGAAGTGTATCGTGAGTTGGGTTCCTCCTGCTGGGGGAGTTGGCTGTTAAGAGGAGGAATACTGTAGTAGAGTCTCTGTTGATGATTATTAGAACTTGTAACCTAACCTAACCTAACCTATGAGACTCAAGTTTTTAACCCCGTGGCCAGGCAGGGTGTCAAGTGTTTTCTTCTGTGTGTCAAGAGATGATCAGTCAAGTCAGGGCCCTAGGGTGATCTTCTCCCCAGGGTGATGTGTTAAGTATGTCAGGTACAGTATTGCCTCACACAGCATCAGGTCAACACGAGAATATTACTGTCTTTAGAATATGGTGTTGAGATACTTACTGTACAGCTTAACGTGTTACCCGATAGTGGTTCACCATTATTATTATCACTAAAATGAATTGTGAACTTTTACCCAAATTGACTTCATTATTTTATAGACCAAGAGCTTCATTGTTAATAGTCAAAGTCATCTTCATGTTTCTTTCAATAAAATAACACTTGTTTCTCTGTCAGCTGCTCCTCCTCCTGGGTCTCGTCGCCCTGGTCGCCGCTCGCCCTGACAACGTCCTCAATTTCGACTTTGATGACTTCGGCCACAACCAGAGCATCGACGACGACAACACCGTCACCGGCTCCTACAGGTGAGGGCGCTGCAGCAGTGAGTAATGATATGTGTCCTGTGGATCTGTGGGGCGCTCACAAGTTACGAAAAACTAACCTGTGATGTTACCCTGACGGAGTTGTTGTGTCTGGCATTAATGATCCCTGAGTCAGGTAAATGTCTCGAGGTGAGGAAGATATTCACAAGTGATCTAAATATGGGAATTTATGTCTTCCAGCTGGACGTCTCCTGAGGGCGTGGAATACTTCGTCAAGTATATCGCTGACGACGATGGCTTCCGTATCGTAGAGTCCAACGCTGTCCCTGTTGGTGCTGGTGGCCTGAAGGCTGATGGTACCCAGGTGTCCTTCAGGTCCTCTGAGGAGTTCGACACTGATTAAAAAACCAGCACAGCGATGTGTTAAAGCCCTGAGTCATCTCCGAGCATATCTTCGTCAGTAGTAGGATACGAGGAGGAGCTTGTTCGTCTGTGTTCGTGAATCTGTCTAATTGAGGAGCCCGACAACCTCCCTTATCCTCATCACGATCGCTGCCTCACTCCCGACCGCAGCTACTACAGTCTCTCTCACCTACACTGTTCCTTTACAGAGTCTCTTAACTATGTTCTTCCTCTTTTATTTATACAAGGTGCAGTATTAATGAAAATAAAGTAAAGTGACCGTATGAGTGTTTGTGTGACTTACCTGGAGTGTGATGACCAGTGTGAGGGAGGAGGACCCGTGGTGGTTGACACTCTTATCTCACAAGTCAGAATAAAATAAACAGAATTAAATGTTATAACCGATGTTCACTTCCGGATGATAAAATATTAAGACTTTTAGTTTAATTTGTAATATTATCGTCTTCCAATTATTAGCGTAACACCAAACATTATTGTACATTAATGTTTATTCACGTAAACATTATATAAAGTTCCCCATGTAAATAAAATTCACAATATAACACGAAATTAACTATAAAATCGACGAACCAAGCATGAAAATATTACAGTTTAAGAAGCCGTAACACAGGTAATATAAATACGAATTATATACATTTAACTGACTTAACAAGCGATGCGTCACTGAGTCACTGCGGCTCACCTGACAATCACCTTAATTAATAACAGTCACAGGTGTAAGTAACCTCGTGCTATAGCCTGAAGGTGTAAGTGTTGATGATTTGTTTTGTTATTTTATTTTTCTCCCTTTGGTCATAAGTTGATCTGGGAGTTGAGGAGAGTTGGTTAAGTGGATCAATTGAGTGTGTCAGGTGTGCTGGTGGATAGGTGGATAAACCCCAATCATTATGGTGATGTGATGGTAGATAGATGTAGCCATTGTGACGACACGAGATGGATTAATATTACAATAAAAGGGAAAAGTTTGGGGATGGTTGGGTTATTTTTTCCCCATAGTTAAATGAGTCATCTTTATTCTACTTTAACCACATGAGGATAACTGTACATGTACCTGTAACCTCTACCTCTACCTAATATAACCATATAAATTAAGTGCGTCATCTTTATGGTACTCTTAACACGTACGTCCGTCTACCTGTGTTTAAGACCTAACCTTGTACTTGTGCCTGGATGAGTTTTATAATCAGAACCTGACCTTTACCTAGAGCCACGAATACACAGTTGAGGTGTTTTGAATTCATATTAAAGCTGCTCACTTACACATTGTACCAAATGGTTTTTGTTGATTTTGAAAGGTAATATACCTGTATAAACCTATTAATTTGGTCTCTGTGTGTGTGTGTGTCTGTGTGTGTTTCTGTGTGTGTGTTCAGTGTGTGTCAAGGCTTGTTCTAGAAACCTTTGCTATGTACTTATGAAATTAGGTTTACGTTGAAGCGCTCGGGTTTGTTTTTATCTGGATTTTTTATTGTATTTATATTCACAGACGATTCATAAACCTGTAGTGTGAACAGCTGTTAGAGACGCTGAGGCACTTTAGGTCATTACTGCTGACGCGATATTGTGTGTGTGTGTGTGTGTGTGTGTCAACAATGAGCCGTCAAGGTGAACCTGGCTACAATAACCTACCTAGGATCACCTAACACCTCACACCTCACACCTCACGCCTCACACCTCACACCTCACACCTTCCCACAAGCAAGTCTACCACACACATATCAGTTACGAACCCACACAGAGATCCATAGTACAAGTTTTTCTATTCATAGTGAACAAATGATTTCGTCAAAGGTGATCACAAGAGTCCAGCTGGATGTATGTATGTAGCAACAACGACTAACTTAACTCTACTAAACTATACTAATTGAGTCATAATGAGTAGTTACCGAGAACTACCAATCTTGTTAACTAGGTCGCGTTTCAACATGATTTTCCCATTCGTTTGTCAGTTATCATGTGTGTAAAGTTCAGAGTCAAAATTAATCACTCAAAAAATTATCTATACAGAATTGTGTTGTAAAATATGACACAATGGACGAATGATTTTAGCTACCTTACTGAGACAACAGGAGTCGTAGTGTTCATTTTGAAATTCATCGATCACCCAAAGTAAAGATAGTTTTTTCGCGTCTCTGCATATGAAACACACACACACACACACACACACACACACACACACACACTATCTATGGTTGGTGTTATAACTTACTATCACTGTGTAGTATTTGGGCTGTGATCCCTAGCTGAAATGGTTCACCCTCAAGGGACATCTGCTATCAAATATTGAGAATGTTATTTGTTTCAGTAGTAGTAGTAGTAGTAGTAGTAGTAGTAGTAGTAGTTGATTTTGTGTCAGTGATTTAATTTTCATTGTAATTATTTCTTTATAAAATGTAAATATTGACATGTTTGAAAATGAGATCCTGGTTTTACCTGTAAAATATATTTCGTCGTGTGTGTGTGTGTGACGCAGGGTAGCAGGGACGGTATAGTTGAACAGGCACTGGATTCGGGGGAGGAAGGGGGGTGGTGCGCCTCGTTAGTATAAAGCCTGAGACGACCCAGCCTGGCATCACTCCTTCACCACCACCAACCACCATGAAGTGTGCTGTAAGTTCTCCTCACACTACAGCCTCACTCCTCTCTAGGCCTCTCTCAACACTTGGGACACTAATTCTAAAACTCAACTCATGGGACCATACTTCAAGCACCCACCTCCTATGACCTGACTTTAAGACCGAGCGTAAACAGTTCACTCTCACCCCACCGTAGAACATTCCGAGTGTTGAGAGTATTATGTTAATGTTTTATTACACACACACACTCGACGTCTGCGAGCTCTGGCGTAGTATTTTTTATTATTATTATTTCTCATCTCAGGCCCAGTCCCATACAGTAGTGTAAGCTCCTTAAAGTGTTCCAGGGAGTAGTGTTGTCTGAGGTCCTGAGTGTGTTGTGTTACTGGCCTCTCTCCTCGCACTGGCATCTGAACTTTCACTTATAAGTCATACGATTCATCTTAAGAGTATAAAATATTTTTTTATTTGAAACACCAGCTTATTGCATAAATATATCATTAATCTCCACTCTCTCTCTCTCTCTCTCTCTCTCGTCTTCTTATCACCTTCATCGCCTCCGTCAGGTGCTCGTCCTCCTGGCTATGGCCGCCCTGGTCGCCGGTCGCCCCGACAATGTCCTCGACCTGGACCTGGACGACCTCCACCACGACCAGAGCATTGATGACGACGCCACCATCACCGGCACCTACAGGTGAGTGTAACACCTGAGTCTCAACACCTGTACTGAAGCATAACAGGAATATAATTCTTGCCTCTGTTGTGTCACATAATCATTTGTTGTTTTTGTTTTATAAAAGAGAATTCATCAATATTTTCAATATGTCAATAATTCATCTCTCTAAACGTCTTGTTAACAAGTGTAAATACCAAAACAATAATAAAGTCTCACTCTTCATTGCTCGTGTTGTGTTCCAGGTGGACTTCTCCTGAAGGAGAGGAATTCTTCGTGAGCTACATCGCTGACGACAAAGGCTACCGCGTAGTGGAGTCCAACGCCGTCCCCGTCACCGCTGACGGCATGGCAGCCAACGGTGCCCAGGGATCCCTCAGCTCTGAGGAATTTGATGATTAAATGATAAACAAGACAACACAAATGGCTGTGTTGGAGCAGCTCACTTCTGAAAGTTAAGGAGCCGCTTCGATGCACTGACGTCAACACCTGCGATTGGTGGAGGGTGGCGGGCGAGGCTTCCTGAGGAACCCTCACTACCTCCCTCCCACCCACGACCTCTAACAAGGCCTTCACGAGTTCCTCGACATCACGAGTTACTCGTTTCCCCTTTCCTCTTTCAACAAATCTTAGTACAGACAAATCCTCTTTCATCATATATTTATTTTTCATTCATCTTCAATAAATTTTACCAAATTACCTGTTGTATTTTGACCATCCTGAAGAATTTGTAGAAATTATGGTGAAGGAAGAACATGTGGCACCACTAGTGTGTAAACTGACTCAAAGATGGTGTTACTGTCAAGTGTTAAGGTGAATAATTGTGAGGTGAATCATGAGTTTTGTCATAATGTCTGCAGGCCTGCATCTTCCACCATCCTGTCCACACGAGTTCCGCTCCCGGGGACGTTCCTAAGTCGGATTTGTACGTAAGTCGAAACACATGATATGCGCATACCGTACTTACAGAACAATGTTTAAATTTCCACTGTATCATAGCCTAAGTCTTTATATACATCTAAAATCATTTAATTTAAGAGAAAAGAAGAAATAGAATGACAAAATACAGTAAATGAAAGTAAAAAATAAGTCGTCAGGTAAATATAATGCCATAAATTTCAGGTTTAACCCCGTTCGTAAGTCGGACGTTCGTAAGTCGGACGTTCGTAAGACGGACGTTCGTAACCCGGGGGACTGCCTACATAAACCTCAGATTTTATAATTACATAAAACTAGAAATCACAGAAAAGAAAGAATGTACAGCCATATTATTTTGTGCAGGCCGACCTTGATGATGTTGTTGGTAAGTTTTATGAAAATCATTTGTGAAGTGAAGGAAGAATTTAACTGTAGTGTTCCATGACAATACAAACAACAGCAGCGCCACAGTCTACTATGACCACCTCAGACCTGCTGCCTAGCGGAGCAGAAATGATTAAGATATTTAACAGAATAATACTAAAGATCACTTGTAAAGATTATTTTTGATAATATGCTTGTCTCCTCCATCTTGTCAAGACTCCGGTGTGTCATTATGAACTCTGGTCTAGTACCCGGACTCTCAGTCAGTTGACATAATTAAGGAACATAATCTTTCCAAAGACTCAATAATTCTTTCTTGGTGTTAAGTGTAAGGTGGAGTCTGTGTAAATAAGGCGTTAATATGGGATGTTATTCGTGTGTGTTTGTTAAGTGTAGCCAAACACCTTCAGTCACGAGGAATATCCATCGTGCTGACATGTAGGCCTCTGAACCAAGCTTGGGTGTGATGCTCCACTTACAATAGTTTTCATTTGTTTCTTTAATAGTAGATATACAACTTGTTAACACCAAACTGAGTTAAAATGTTCCTTTTGTAAGTGTTGCTAAAAACATCTGACAGGTCGAGTCTGATTAAGTACTAATTTGAATGATCATTGTCTCTTACTTCAACATTTGTCTTCAATATTCACTAACCCATTTATTACATTACATTTTGTTTACCTTTATGTAAGAAATTTATCATCGACTCATCTACAATAACGAGTTGGATAAAATGTGACCCATATATATATAGGTGGGTTTTTTCCTTGACGTTATTTCATGTGTACAGTACTGCCGTATGGTTTTGAGTGTGCGTGGTTTTTCTTTTTTTGTGTGTGTGTGTGAGGCAGAGCAGCAGGGAGGAGTTAGACAAGCTTTTGGGTAATAGCTACAGGGGTAAGGGAGGGGCAGGTGGGTGTGGTTCGCCTCGCTAGTATAAAGCTTGAGACGACCCAGCCTGGCATCACTCCTTCACCACCACCAACCATCATGAAGTGTGCTGTAAGTTCTCCTCACACTACTGCCTCACTCCTCTCTAGGCCTCTCTCAACACTTGGGTCACTAATTCTAAAACCCAGCTCTTGGGACCATACTTCAAGCACCCAGCTCCTAAGACCTTACTTTAAGACCGAGCGTAAACAGTTCACTCTCACCCCACCGTAGAACATTCCGAGTGTTGAGAGTATTATGTTAATGTTTTATTACACACACACACTCGACGTCTGCGAGCTCTGGCGTAGTATTTTTTATTATTATTATTTCTCATCTCAGGCCCAGTCCCATACAGTAGTGTAAGCTCCTTAAAGTGTTCCAGGGAGTAGTGTTGTCTGAGGTCCTGAGTGTGTTGTGTTACTGGCCGCTCTCCTCACACTGGCATCTAGACTCTCACTCACAACTCTCGTTTCATATTTTCTTAAGAACTTTAAATAGTTTTTTTTTTGGGAGGGGAGGGGGGGGTGATCCCAACTTATTACACAAAACAAATAATCTCTCTCTCTCTCTCTCTCTCTCTCTCTCTCTCTCTTTCTCATCCACTTATCACCTTCATCTCCTCCGTCAGGTGCTCGTACTCCTGGCTATGGCCGCCCTGGTCGCCGCTCGCCCCGGCAATGTCCTCGACCTGGACCTGGACGACCTCCACCACGACCAGAGCATCGATGACGACACCACCATCACCGGCACCTACAGGTGAGTGTAACACCTGAGTCTCAACACCTGTACTGAAGCATAACTTCTGTAAATTGCTTAAGTATGACAGGACTGTAATTCGTTTCCTTGTTGCCACAATCATTGGTGTCTTTGTTATTCAAATAGTAATAATAACTATTCCCATTGTTCTCAAGATATTAATAATTCATCTCAATAAACCACTTGTTAACAAGTGTAAATACCAAAACAATAACAAAGTCTCACTCTTCATTGCTCGTGTTGTGTTCCAGGTGGACTTCTCCTGAAGGAGAGGAATTCTTCGTGAGCTACATCGCTGACGACAAAGGCTACCGCGTGGTAGAGTCCAACGCCGTCCCCGTCACCGCTGACGGCGTGGCAGCCAACGGTGCCCAGGGATCCCTCAGCTCTGAGGAATTTGATGATTAAATGATAAACAAGACAACACAAATGGCTGTGTTGGAGCAGCTCACTTCTGAAAGTTGAGGAGCTGCTTCGATGCACTGACGTCAACACCTGAGGGTGGTGGAGGGTGGCGGGCGAGGCTTCCTGAGGAACCCTCACTACCTCCCTCCCACCCATGACCTCTATCAAGGCCTTGACGAGTTCCTCGACATCACGAATTACTCGTCTCTTGTTCGTCTTTCAACAAATCTTCTCTCTGCAAACTCTCTATAAAAATATATTTATTTATTTTCCACTTATCTTGAATAAATTTTGACAAATTACCTGTTGAGTTGTTACATTGACCATCCTGTAAGTCGACATTTAAACCTCCTTATAAAGATCAATGAGAATCAGTAGGAACTATCATAGAGAAAGAACACTGTGTGCTGACGGTATGATGTTGCTGTCAAGTGTTAATGTTAATAATTGTGAAGAGAATCACAAGTTTTGTCATAATATCTGCGGGCCTGCGTCACCCACCATCCTATACACACATAAATCAGTATATGAACCTCAGGTGAATTGTCGAAAAAATAATAGTTACATAAAACTAGAAATCATGGAAACGAAAAAGTGTATAATCATATTATTTTGTGCAGACCGACCTTGATGATGTTGTTGGTAAGTTTTATTAAAGTCATTTGTGAAGTGAAGGAAGAATTTAACTGTAATGTTCCCTGACAATACCGACAACAGCAGCTCCACAGTCTACAGTGTGACAACCTCAGACCTGCTGCCTGGTGGAGCAGCGCCACACTCTATGCTGTGACCACCTCAGACCTGCTACCCGGCGGAGCAGCGACACACTCTACTGTGACCTCAGACCTGCTACCTGGCGGAGCAAGAAGAAGAGTATTTTAAAGATATCAAATGATTAATAAATGCAAATAAGTTGTTGAATATATTAGATAGACGGACATGGTGATGTGACGTTCAGGTGATGGAGATGTAATACTTCATAGCTTTTTACTTTGCAGAGGGAGATAGTGTGTTGGTCGTGGCAGGTGTAGGAGTCTGAACTTAAGATCTGTCAGGGGAAAAGTCACCCTCTAGAGTCTAGATTGTAATTTTTTCCTCGAATTTGAAGATAATAATTTGGGTCGTGTGAAGGCTCAAGAGGTCGTCCCCGTCTGTAATATCAATAATACTCCTTCTCTTCTCTTACATCCTTCCATCCTATTCCCCGCCTTTTACACGTCTTCCACGCCCTCTGCATGTCTTAACAGCTACTTGAGGTCACTGTTTGACTGAAGGTATCCAGACGATGTTACATTGAACCTTACATTCACCTTCTCCATTAATGGTCACAGGTGTAAGGCGTCTGGGTGTAGGTGTGTTGTGTAAGTGTTGAAGTTTTTCTCTCGGCGGTTACAACTCAAGTTAATTTGTGAGCTGAGGGATTGGCTCAGGCAGATCGGCTGAAAGTGTATCGACTCGCAATCAATCAGGTGGATGTGGCTCAAGTGTGTGGCTCAGGTGGATGTGGCTCAGTGTACTGGAAGGCTGGACGACCCTCGCCACTGTATTGGTCAGGTTCTTGTAGCGGCGGCCATTGTGACGACACATGATTTGTAAATATTACGAAAAAGTGTTTAGTAATTTGTAGATGTTTCTGTTTTTGTCTTGTACACCATATTTGTGGATATTACTACACTTACACATATATCTGTACTTGTGTTATTGTTTCTGTTAGACTGGGTTAACCCCTATAGCATGCGAGGGTCTCTCTGTGCTGAATAAGACACTCTGGCGTTAACCAAATAAAATAATGAAAGCGGCGTCCCCCTGGTGAGGGGTTAAGGCACCACCTTCAGGACACTCACCAAGACTCTACGTCAACCTGAACTTATACTGATGACTTTAACTAAACTGTATCCTGTTGACGTTGACTCTTCCTCGTGTGTTGACAACAGACGGTCTGTGTGCTGACATAATGTATAAGCGAACTGTGGTGTAATGGGCAGTATACTCGCCTCACAAGCGAACGGACCCGGATTCGATACCTGGACAGTGTGAAACTATGGTCAAGTTTCTTTACACCATTTGCCTCTGTTTACCCAGCAGTATTTGGGGACCTGGATGTTAATCGATATGCGGATCGTGTTCCGGGGTAATGGTCTTCTCGGACTATTACCTTGACACTGGGTCATGCAGTTCGTAACTCAGGGTGTGGTTGTTCTGTTGGCGACAGCTTCTAGACCTTAAACACATTCACGCCTACAGGTGGCCGTCGGTCGTACACGAGGGGCAACCATTATTAAACATAAGGTAGTGTGCATTTATGTTGTAAATGATGAAGATGTTTTTCAGAATAATACATAAGATCACTTATACAGATTACTTCTGTTAATATGCTTGTCTCCTCCATCTTGTTAAGACTCCGGTGTGTCATTATGAACTCTGGTCTAGTACCCGGACTCTCAGTCAGTTGACGTAATTAAGGAAGATAATCTTTCCAAAGACTCAATAATTCTTTCTTGGTGTTAAGTGTATCTAGGTAAGGTGGAGTCTGTGTAAATAAGGCGTTAATATGGGATGTTATTCGTGTGTTTGTTAAGTGTAGCCAAACACCTTCAGTCACGAGGAATATCCATCGTGCTGACATGTAGGCCTCTGAACCAAGCTTGGGTGTGATGCTCCACTTCCTAATATTAACAAGTTGTTAGCACCAAACTGGGCGAAAATTCCCTATATATCAAAGTGTTTTTAAACATATCTGAAGAGTTGAGTTTGACAAAATTCAAATTCAAATGACCATTGTATTTTTCTCTATAATATTTACTCGCCAAAAAATTCCCATTGTTTTCCCTTTTCCTGTATGATTTTATCAAGATTTATCTTATCCACGTTTTCATTGTGGAACTACATGTAACAATCTGTATAAAATCTTGCACTATAAACAGCTACTGAGATTTCGACTAAACTTAAAAAAAAAATAGTTTCTGTTCAAATCAAAGTCTTATTGAGATACACCAGTACAGGATAAGAAATTTCAACAACGTAAAGTGTTATTTCTTCGTGTGTGTGTGTGTGTGTGTGTGTGTGTGTGTGTGTGTGAGGCAGGGCAGCAGGGAAAGGTCAGACAAGGTTTTGGGAAATAGCTACAGGGGTAAGGGAGGGAGGGGCAGGTGGGTGTGGCGGGAACTCGCTAGTATAAAGCCTGAGACGACCCAGCCTGGCATCACTCCTTCACCACCACCAACCATCATGAAGTGTGCTGTAAGTTCTCCTCACACTACAGCCTCACTCCTCTCTAGGCCTCTCTCAACACTTGGGTCACTAATTCTAAAACCCAGCTCTTGGGACCATACTTCAAGCACCCACCTCCTAAGACCTTACTTTAAGACCCAACATTGGCTGAGGTCCCCAGTATGTGTTGCACTACTGTCTACTCTCTCCCTCACACTCGTCTCTGCATTCTCACTTACGCTTCTCATTACACACTACACACTAACTACACACTAACTACACAGCTATTACACACTAACTATGCTAATTGTACTCAAACTTCATACTAACTACACCTCAAACTCACCGTGATTAAGAGTTAAGAGGGAAATATATTCAGTCATTAATGGTGTAAACTCTTCAGAGACTCTCACACCTGTACAGTCCAGCTCGGCGGATACAGACTATTACACTGAAGGTTTATCTTATACATATTTCTTTCCTTCTTCAAAAACCGATCATTCACAACAAAAGTCATAATGTGTCACCGCCACAACATACTATACTGCCAGTCTGTTGCCTGCTCTAAAATGAAGCAGGAATACAGTAAAGTGCATGTGTAAACCTTTTATCATGCTAAGTGAGGCAGCCACCAGGTGTAACAACAGTTATGTTATGACGGGGTGATCGGCAGCCGGGTTTCAAGGTCAGTTGTGTCGTGTAGTAAATGATGTAATTGTTACCAACACACGCACTGACACTACTGTGTGAGATAGTCTTAGTGACGAACCAACCAACTTTTATAGCTACGTTTAAGACATAGTTAGTCATTTAACATTTATAATACTGATTATCATTATCATAATATTTGGTTGAATTTGGGTAATATGAGTCTTTCCTTAAATAGTTTCTAAATATTTTAAATAAGAAATAATCTGTTTGAGACTCCAGCTAATTGCACCAAATAAATAATTTATCTCTGACCCATTCAAATCTCTCTCTCTCTCTCTCTCTCTCTCTCTCTCTCTCAATCTCTCTCTCTCTCTCTCTCTCTCTCTCTCTCTCTCTCTCTCTCTCTCATCCACTTATCACCTTCATCTCCTCCGTCAGGTGCTCGTACTCCTGGCTATGGCCGCCCTGGTCGCCGCTCGCCCCGACAATGTCCTCGACCTGGACCTGGACGACCTCCACCACGACCAGAGCATCGATGACGACGCCACCATCACCGGCACCTACAGGTGAGTGCAACACCTGAGTCTCAACACCTGTACTGAAGCATAACAGGAATATAATTCTTGCCTCTGTAGTTTTATAAAAGAGAATTCATCAATATTTTCAATATGTCAATAATTCATCTCTCTAAACGTCTTGTTAACAAGTGTAAATACCAAAACAATAACAAAGTCTCACTCTTCATTGCTCGTGTTGTGTTCCAGGTGGACTTCTCCTGAAGGAGAGGAATTCTTCGTGAGCTACATCGCTGACGACAAAGGCTACCGCGTAGTAGAGTCCAACGCCGTCCCCGTCACCGCTGACGGCGTGGCAGCCAACGGTGCCCAGGGATCCCTCAGCTCTGAGGAATTTGATGATTAAATGATAAACAAGACAACACAAATGGCTGTGTTGGAGCAGCTCACTTCTGAAAGTTGAGGAGCCGCTTCGATGCACTGACGTCAACACCTGCGGGTGGTGGAGGGTGGCGGGCGAGGCTTCCTGAGGAACCCTCACTACCTCCCTCCCACCCACGACCTCTATCAAGGCCTTCACGAGTTCCTCGACACCACGAGTTACTCGTCTTCCTTTTCCTCTTTCAACAAATCTTTGTACTGACAAATTGTTTTATAATTTATTTATTTTTTATTCCGCTTGAATAAATTTTGACAAATTACCTGAGTTGTGACATTGACCATCCTGTATAATGTTTAACGATCAATGAGGAATTAGTAGAAATTATGGTGAAGGAAGAACACTGTGTTTTGTAGACTGACTTCATGGTGTTGCTGTCAAGTGTTATTGAGAATAATTGTGGGATGAACTTGAACACACTGAGGCAGACAGTATCGTGCCCTTCACGTATTCAAGACACTTCTCAGTGGTTGGTCTTTGAGAGTCTCGTTGTGCTCATACGTCACTTCTCTAGTACGTCACCTCTCTAGTACATACGTCACCTCTCTAGTACATACGTCACCTCTCTAGTACATACGTCACCTCTAGTACATACGTCACCTCTCTAGTACGTCACCTCTCTAGTACGTCACCTCTCTAGTACATACGTCACCTCTCTAGTACATACGTCACCTCTCTAGTACATACGTCACCTCTCTAGTACATACGTCACCTCTCTAGTACATACGTCACCTCTCTAGTACATACGTCACCTCTCTATCTCCGAACCATTTACGTTACGTCTTGCTAACCCTCTGAGGTCATTGGTCAACTGAAGTTCTCCAAGCGATGCGTCACTGAGTCAATACGGGTCACCTGAGCGGCTCACCTGATATTCACTTTCCTCATTTATGGTCTCAGGTGTAAGTTACCTTGTACCTACCTGGTTCTTGGTGGGGGTGGGGTGGGAGGGGTAGGTGTTGAGGGTTTTTCTCCGAGTGATTTACAACTCTAGTAGATCTGTGAGGTGAGGAAAGTTGCTTAAATGGATCAAGTATATGTGTGTGTGTGTGTCTGTGTGTGTGTGAGGATTAGATAACTGTGTGTGAATTAAATGAATGTGTGTGGATTAAATGACTGTATGTAGATCAACTAATTCTGAATCAGCTGACTGGTGACTAACTGTAATGTGTATCAGGTAACTGGATCAGCTGAGTGGTCAGTTAAAGGGACTGGACGACACCTTACACGGAAAAAAAACACAACAACAACAACCAAAACAACAACAACAACCAAAACAACAACAACAACCAAAACAACAACTTTAGGTACATTAAATTGTAAGGAAAATTGACCTTGAATTTATATATATTTGAGATCAAGGTTAGGTTAGGTTAGGTTAGGTTAGAACGTTACCTTAATGACGTCTTACAATCTAATAATTACTATACCTATTCTTAATTAAATATATACCTGTGTTAATATATTTTCCTTAGCAATTTTTACCTAAGACGTTACATCACTTTTATGATACACTCACCTTCTTGTCTTACCTGTGATCTCTGTCTTAACTTGTACTTACTGTATATTGACGCGGGTGAATAATAATACGCCTAAGAATCACTGGGAAGAGTAGACCACCTCGACCCGCGTGTACAGTGACCACAAGATTCTTAGGTTTACAGCCGTATTTTATCATACCTTAATTAATAACTGGGTCATATAACTGTGAATTTGGGTTGACTGAGTTTTTATCTGTCTGTCTGTCTGTTTATTTCTGTCTGTCTGCCTTTCTGTCTGTGTCGGCCTGTATGTATGTATGTAAGTTGTGTACGTGTGTCTGTCCCATGGAATACCAAGACATTTGCTAACACCATTGGGAAATCTGACCTAAGAGTGGAGCGGAACGTGAGCTAGATTTTATTCAGATTTTTTTCCATAGTTCATTGCCAATTTACAGGTAGTTAAGGCCTTGACCAATCAGCAGGAGGGGATTGTTCTTTTTTTTTTAAGAGGGTGGAGGAGTTATGGGGAGTAGGGGGGGGGGGAGGGCGTTGGTTTAAGAGTGTGGAACAACCATGGGAAAAAAAACCTAACACACTTACCCGGTTTATGTTTAATTATTTGAGCGTCATTGTCTATAACTCAGGTCTTGTTTATTGTTTTGTTTACCTGTCTTCTAGTTTATTCTATTGTTATTGTTTTTTTTTACTTTATTTGTATTTTATTTATGTGAAGTTTTTTACCTGACAGACAAATATTTTATTTCTTTAGCTAATTTATATTCATTGATATTTACCTAATTTATAATAGTATTTTTAAGTGTTTTCTGGATATATTTTTAGACACTGAACGACATAACTCTGAAGGTGACTTGTGTATTATTAAAACAAAACATTTCATGACGCCTACATTAATAGTTTGTGTGGGTGGGATTCAGCGGTCGGAGGAAACAGTTTATGCTCTTGATAAATGTGACAAAAATGTATAAAAAAAAAGGAATAACACTGTGGCGTAATGGTCAGCACGCTCACCTCGCAAGCGAATGGACCTGGGTTTGATTCCCGGGCAGGGTGAAATTATAGGCAAGTTTCTTTACGCCATTTGCCTCTGTCTACCCAGCAGTAGTTGGGGACCTGGATGTTAATCGATTTGCAGATCGTGTTCCGGGGTAATGGTTAGCCAGTGCAGTTGGCGAGTTGTCCGGTGTTCCCGGACTATTCCTTGACACTGGAATAGGGTGTAGTTGTTGTGTTGGCGACAGCTTCTACACCATATAAAAATTCACTCCTAGGTGTCCCTTGGGCCAGCCATCCTCATTACACGAGAGGCAACCATTATTATGTGTCTATATTGTGTATGACCTTAATAACTTAAGCTATTGTCACTATATCACAAAAGGTTCACTAACTCGGGTGTTTTATTTACTTAGTTAGTTTGTTAGTTAGTAAGTTAATTAGTTAGTTAGTTAGTTAATTAGTTAGTTAGTTAGTTAGTTAGTTAGTTAGTTAGTTAGTTAGTTAGTTATGGTAGTTAGTTAGTTAGTTGAGGAATGATGTTACACAGGTTGATGTCTTGTACAGTCACCCACAAAAGTCCTGTCACCTCTCTTCCTGAACCACGAACCCCCAGGATTCAGACTCATGAACCCGAAGCAGTGAACACAAATCCATTATTCTACCCATAAATGCTTCGGATTCACGAGTCTCGGGGGGTTCGTGGTTCAGGAGGAAAGGCGACAAGACTGTATTTGTTTTCCACTCTTCTGCTCTGTTGTTGTGTGAACCGTGTCGTACAAGACTGACCTAACATACGGTACACAAGACACACGTAAAGGAGGGTGTGTGTGAAGATGTCAGGATCCTCTTACTCTTCACCTTCAAGATTTCGTTCTTAAGTTTGGCAATGCATTTACGGGACACGATCGATGTTGTGTGTATGTGAGGCAAAGGAGAAGGGAGAGTTTAGGGGTAATAGCTACAGGGTAAAGGGAGGGAGGGGCAGGTGGGTGTGGCGCGCCTCGCTAGTATAAAGCCTGAGACGACCCAGCCTGGCATCATTCCTTCACCACCACCAACCATCATGAAGTGTGCTGTAAGTTCTCCTCATACTACTGCCTAACAAAAGACTATACATATAAGCTATGGACCCATCGGCAGTATGAGTTATCAGCAACACCTATTGTAGTATATTAACGTTAACGATAAACATAACAGTTAATGCTGGTTGCCGTCCAAGTTAATCATTTAACCTTTAACAACAAACGTACTTATAATCACCGTCGTAATCAAGATAAACTCATAAATTATTATTACAATTACAACAGTAGGTTATCATTAAGACTATTCAAATTACTTTTCCAATTAACCTTCAAACTTGTTAATATCACTGGAGGTTAAATGCCGTTTGGTTAGGTTAGGTTTTGTTTTCGATTCTTCAGAAAATAAGATTAGTGTCTATCTGATGCAGGTATTATTCACATTAAGGAATCATTTCAATATTAATCACCGTGAATAAATGGTCATCTAATTGAGTAGTGTAATGTCGTGTGTGTGTGTGTGTTGCCCGGTGAAAACAGTGTGTCATCTTCTAGTTATCTGCATCACGCATTCTGTCACGTCATTGTTTAGCGTAATTGGAAGTGACCTGAGGACGTAGAGTACTGGCGTGAGGAACTTGTAAGGGTCTTTTGTCTCTCTGTTCCCTCACACCGAACATGACTCTCTCTCTCACATTCACTTATCACCTTCATCTCCTCCGTCAGGTGCTCGTACTCCTGGCTATGGCCGCCCTGGTCGCCGCTCGCCCCGACAATGTCCTCGACCTGGACCTGGACGACCTCCACCACGACCAGAGCATCGATGACGACGCCACCATCACCGGCACCTACAGGTGAGTGCAACACCTGAGTCTCAACACCTGTACTGAAGCATAACAGGAATATAATTCTTGCCTCTGTAGTTTTATAAAAGAGAATTCATCAATATTTTCAATATGTCAATAATTCATCTCTCTAAACGTCTTGTTAACAAGTGTAAATACCAAAACAATAACAAAGTCTCACTCTTCATTGCTCGTGTTGTGTTCCAGGTGGACTTCTCCTGAAGGAGAGGAATTCTTCGTGAGCTACATCGCTGACGACAAAGGCTACCGCGTGGTAGAGTCCAACGCCGTCCCCGTCACCGCTGACGGCGTGGCAGCCAACGGTGCCCAGGGATCCCTCAGCTCTGAGGAATTTGATGATTAAATGATAAACAAGACAACACAAATGGCTGTGTTGGAGCAGCTCACTTCTGAAAGGTGAGGAGCCGCTTCGATGCACTGACGTCAACACCTGCGGGTGGTGGAGGGTGGCGGGCGAGGCTTCCTGAGGAACCCTCACGACCTTCCCCCACCTCTCACCCACGCCAACATCTTCACAAGGTTCCCTTGAGTTAATCTTCTCTCACCAGGAGACTTCTCACCAACTCTCTTCATTGCCATATGTTTAATATTTATTTATTTTAAATAAAATTTTCTTAAAGAATTGAAAATTGTTGTTGATCTTTCATCCTGTTAACACACACACACACACACACACACACACACACACACACACACACACATACACGAATAACTATATGCATTAATATACAGTATATATATACGAATGTACAGGTATGTATTATCCATCCACCCATCATTATATCCAACTACTCGTCCAGAAAACTTGAACTGAAGAAAGAAATCATAATTATGTAGATGATGATAGAAAAAATAATGCTAATGATGATAATACTAATAATAACAACCATAATAATAATTAACAATAATAATAACAATAATAATAATAATAATACCAACAATAAAAACAACACCTAGAACAACAACAACAGCAACAACAACATTACCCTCAAAGGTCAAGGAACAAGTACAGTATGACCCTGACCTTCTGCTGACCTCATACTAGCGATTCTGTAGCACCAGGCTAATGTGACCCCTTCAGTAGGTAACCTGCCAGCCATCCTCCACGCGGTGACACACAGACTCTGGTGGAGTCTCCATATTTTCTCTAAGTAACTAAATATATTAACTTTTATGTATATATGTATGTATGTATGTATGTATGTATGTATGTATGTATGTATGTATGTATGTATGTATGTATGTATGTATGTATATATATTAATTGGCTAGTTAGTATTTAAAGAGCTTAATTAAGATCTTGAGGTGAGGCTACCTGTGTGTGTGTGTGAGAGAGACAGAGAGAGAGAGAGAGAGAGAGAGAGAGAGGGTGATGACCTTGTTCTCTCACTGCCCTCAACTCTCTCTCACCCACACTCTCTCACACCTGAACTTTATACAACAGGTTCACATAATCCAGTTTTTATCACCGCCCCTCGCTCACTGCCCCAAACTGTAACACCAAACTCGATTCTAGATAAGCGATCGTCAGTCCTCCCCCACAGTCAATTTTGCGGTGGTGTACTGGAAAATATTAGATAGATAGATAGATAGATAGATATACAGATAGATGGATGGGTAGATAGATAGATAGACAGATTAACTAATTAAAACCAAAATTTACCTGTAATTACCTGAAATTTACCTGAAGAAGCTACCTGGGAGTTCCTTGGGCCAGAAAATACGATGAAAAATGGGAGGAAAAAATTAGTGGTTATAAAGGGCAGGTGACAGGTAAGAGAGACTCAATACAATGTCAACAAAGACTCCTCAGAATAGCATCAGGTGAATTAATTAAGGGAGTCTAAGGTGGGGGGGGTGTGTACCTGGTGTGTGGAATGTCTTGATAAGTTTTGTTTCCTGGGATACTGTCTGTCTGTCTGTCTGTCTATCTGTCTGTCTGTCTGTCTATCTGCCTGTCTATCTATCTGTCTGTCTATCTGTCTGTCTGTCTGTCTATCTGTCTGTCTGTCTATCTGTCTGTCTGTCTATCTGTCTGTCTGTCTGTCTATCTGTCTGTCTGTCTGTCTATCTGCCTGTCTATCTATCTGTCTGTCTATCTGTCTGTCTGTCTGTCTATCTGTCTGTCTGTCTATCTGTCTGTCTGTCTATCTGTCTGTCTGTCTGTCTATCTGTCTGTCTGTCTGTCTATCTGTCTGTCTATCTGTCTGTCTGTCTATCTGTAATAATGATAAACAATGATAATAATGATAAGAATAACTAGGGGTATTATTCTGATATTTCTCTCATGTTATCGGTAATATCGATGATAAAGACAATGTATTGCTCTTCTCACCTGCATTTGACCTAACCTGACAGAGAAAGATATTTTACCTTTACCCGATACACAAATGGTGGAAATATTGACTCACTCTTGACTCACTCTTGCGTAATATTTGGTTTTTTTCTCTCCCTGTGTTTGGTTTTCATATTCAAATATTTATAAGTTGGGTTTAAAGATTTAGAAGTTCTTAAGAAAATATACAAGTAATATTATGATTTAGGGGAGGGATATTGAACCGGTATATTAGAGAAAGATTTATTTAGGAATTTAGTTGAATGTGTTTTACCTGTGTGTAAATTTGTATTGGTTAAGTGAATGGATTTATATTATGAGAAAATAAGGAATAAATTGTTTTAAGATTATATAAATTACATAGAGCTTATTTCTGTACATTACTCACCAGGTCAATAATGTAACACTGATATGAAAAAAAATTATAAGACTGAGTTTATTTACGTGTTGTGTAGAGTTAAGACTTTTTACCTTTGAGATGTTAATTGATTTTAAGTCTCAAGATGTTGTTATTTATTATTTTACCTAAAGGAAGAATTTAATATTTGAGACATTTCTGAACACAGGTAAGTTAATTAGGATACAGGTAAGATAGGATCACCTGAATAATATCTAACCTAACCTAACCATGCATAACCTAGCTTATTTCTAACTAAACCCGGTGGTGGTAGTGGTGGTGGTGGTAGTGGTAGTGGTGGTGGTAGTAGTGGTAGTGGTGGTGATAGTAGTGGTAGTGGTGGTGATAGTAGTGGTAGTGGTGGTGAGGGTGGTGGTAGTGGTGGTGGTGGTGGTGGTGGTGGTGAGTAGTGGTGGTGGTGGTAGTAGTGGTGGTAGTGGTGGTGAGTGATGGTGGTGGTGGTGGTGGTGGTGGTGGTGGTGAAAGTAGTGGTAGTGGTGGTGGTGGTAGAGGGTGGTGGTAGTAGTGGTAGTGGTGGTGGTAGTAGTGGTGAGGTGGTGGTGGTGGTGGTGGTAGTGGTGGTGGTAGTGGTGGTGGTGGTGGTGGTGAGTAGTGGTAGTGGTGGTGTGGTGAGTGGTGGTGGTGGTGGTGGTGGTGGTGGTAGTAGTGGTGAGAGTGGGGTGGTGGGGTGGAGGTAGTAGTGGTAGTGGTGGTGGTGAGGTAGTAGTGGTGGTGGTGGTGTGGTGGTGGTGGGTGGTGGTGGTGGTGGTGGTGGTGGTGGTGGTGGTGGTGGTGGTGGTGGTGGTGGTAGTAGTGGTAGTGGTGGTGGTAGTAGTGGTGAGTGGTGGTGGTGGTAGTGGTGGTGGTGGTGGTGGTAGAGTGGTGGTGGTGGTGGTGGTGGTGGTAGTGGTGGTAGTGGTGGTGGTGTGGTAGTGGTGGTGGTGGTAGTAGTGGTAGTGGTGGTAGTGGTAGTAGTGGTGAGTGGTGGTGGTAGTGGTGGTGGTGGTAGTGGTGGTGGTGGTGGTGGTGTGAGTGAGGTGGTGGTGGTAGTAGTGGTAGTGGTGGTGGTGGTAGTGAGTGGTAGTGGTGAGGTGGTGGTAGTGGTGGTAGTGGTGGTGGTGGTTGTGGTGGTGGAGCTACCTACTGTTGCTACATAACCAGACACTCGGTCCCTCACCACCTGACCTTCCACCTCCCTCCTGTTGCCTCACTCCTGTTGTTAGTCCTACAGGTGTTGTTCCTACAGGTGTTGGTCCTACAGGTGTCGGTCCTACAGGTACTGGGGTTGGTACTCCTACTCCGCTGTCCTGTTCCTTTTATTAAGTGTAGGAGGGAGGTAGGAGTGGTGGAGGAGGGGAAAGGAACGGAAGGAGTGGATGGAGGGAAAAAAGTGAGGGAAGAATGAAGGAAATAAACGAGGGAGGAAGGAAGGAATTGATGAAAACACAGGAGAGAAGGAGGAATGGAGGAAGAGGAGAAGGAGGGAAAAAGGAAGGAGGGATAGAAGAGAGGGAGAGAGGGAGGGAGGAGGTGAGAGTCTCTAGGTCAGGGTAGAGTTATGACCATATAGGGGGGACTGAGGTAGAGTTAGTTGAGGCGGGGGAAGCAGTTACTACATTCTTACTTTCTCTAGCCCGCCTCCGCCCTCCATGGCCACCCCTGCCCATCCTAATATCACCCTGACCCTCCTTGACCTTACCTAACAGACCTTGACCCATCCTGACCCTCCCTGATTGACCTTACCCGCCTTGACCCTCCCTAACAGTGCTTGACCCACCCTGACTCTCCCTATTCTACCCTGACCTCCTCTAACCCACCCTCACCCTCCCTAGCAACTCCTGACCCACCCTGATCCAACCTAACTCTCCCTGACCCACTCTAATCCACCCTGACCCACCCTGGTTCACCCTGACCCACTGTAATCCCCCCTGATCCACCCTGGTTCACCCTGACCCATCCTGGTTTACCCTGACCTATTGCGGTTCACCCTGACCCACCCTGGCCCACTCTCACCCACCTTCACCCACCCTGACCCACCGTGACTTCTTGTACAGACACCAATGCGCGTTCAAGCAGTGAAGTTTGTATGCAGTTGTCAACTAATAATTACACACACACACACACACACACACACACACCTGAACCTCCCGACATAAAAACACATTCAGCAATTAAAGCAAGTCTCTCTCTCTCTCTCTCTCTCTCTCTCCTTGTTTGTCTGTCGGTGGTTCTCTTTTTCATTCTTTGTCCTAAAAAAATACGAACTGGGATATAATTTTGCGATAATAATAATAATAATAATAATAATAATAATAATAATAATAATAATAATAATAATGATTATTTTATTATCATTAGTAGTGCTAGTATCACCATTATTATTACTACTATTATTAAAACAAACCTTTCGTTCCCCAAGCTGTCAGACCATCACCACCCCTTCCACCACCACCACCACCACCACCACCACCATCACACATCACCACCACCACCACCACCACCACCATCCCACCACCACCACCATCACCACCACCCACTACCATCCACCCACCACTACCACCACCACTACCACCACCATCACCACCACCATCACCACCACCCCAACCACCACCACCACCACCACCACTACCACCAGTAGAGAGAACAACACACTAGCAACACTGTCCTCTCAGCCCCTCCCTGAGCAACACAACCCCGTGACGTCACAAGGAGGTTTGACGCAACACTCCTCGTCTCTCATTGGTCAGTCCGCCGTCGAGGTCAACACTATTGTAACATCAGGGACGACCCTAAAAACTAGCCCAGGTGAGTCAGGGAGGTTAGGTTAGGTTAGGTTAGGTTAGGTTAGGTTAGTCGAATTAACAGATAGAAGATAAATTTAATAATATAAAAATTAC